GAGCCAGGTTTCACAAACACCTATGACTTCATGATTACATTTTAAATCGTTGAGTAACTGGAACTGATCAAAAATTTTGCTAAGATTCCTAATATTAAAATGTGAGGCAAAGAGTTGGTTAGGATTTGAATATGGTGGTGACGTAAGCTCATTTTCTAAAAGGGAACCATTAAACAAATGCTGAGGAACAATCTCATTAGAATCGATTTCAAGCTGCAATTCAGGAGTTGTTAAATTTAGAAATGCTGCTATGTCTGAGTTGTCACCCTCTTCTCTATTCATAAAGTTAACATTTATTGTGGCATCTTGAGTGTTATTCATGTTAATTACATCATTCATCATATATAACAGACACATTCCGGCGAAGTGAGTAGTGGTTGAGGAATCTGTTTAACTCTAGGCTTTAATGTAGAGAACACTGAATAAGAAAAAAAGACAGGCGAATACATGACAGAAGAATAAGCACAGAAGTAAATGTTGTACATACATAAGACTACAGGTACGCACATAAAAGTGACTAGTTCGTATAACAAAAATACCAGCTGAGCTATTATCACTTATCAACCTCAAAAATTCAAGAATTTGACATCTGGCACATTTAAACACAATTTGTATACGCCACTTCAGGTTAGCATATGGCATGGCAAGAAAAACACAAAGGGAATAACAGAACACCTTAATCAATGCTTTTGACCACGGCATACAAAAAAAAAGACTTAAAATAAATTTAAAAATACTTTGCGAACATGATGAGCAGAAATATATGCAATCTCTTTATTTCCTTTTGGCCACCCCCCCCCCCCCCTTTTCCCGTTTGCAGACATGGATTTTACATGCGTAATGCGTCGTACAAATGACTTTCCCTGGGTTAATCAGAACAGTAAAATCAGGATTTCCCCCCCTTTTTATGCCTCCGTTACGAAGTAGCCAGAGGCATTATGTTTTCGGATTGTCCGTCCGTCCGTCCGTCCGTCCGTCCATACGTCCGTCCGTACGTCCCGTTCTCGTGATCGCGTTATCTGAAGAACCGATTGATGGATTCCTGCCAAACTTTGGTCATGTATGTATCTTGCAGAGCCGATGAACTGATTAGATTTGGGGGTCAAAGGTCAAAGGTCACAGGGCTCATTATGTATGCAAAAACAGCTCGTGATCGCGTTATCTCAAGAACCGATTGATTGATTCCTGCCAAACTTTGGTCATGTATACTCTAATCTACTGATGCTGCTCCTAGTCTTGACAATAGTCTGAGCCACTAGTGGCGATCTCTACATCATCCTTTTGTTTCACTGAGAGAAGAGAGGATAAATGTCCCTCCTTCGAACATAAGGATGACACAAAATCGCTGCCGCTGCTATGGGATACGTTTGCATTGCATGTCAATATAGATTGCGATATTTCTAGTTATCATCAGTTTTGATATGTTATGCATTTGAAATACAGAACAAATTTGAAATCTATCTTCCTCTTTATGTTTTACTTTAGCTTTTATATATTTTTTTAGTTCAAATTAAGGTCATATGAACCAGTGGCCAGGTGTAAGCAGAGGGTCAAAGTCAAATATCATGCTTAGTTTTTTAGTTGGTTGCCACTACTACAAAGTTTTTTTTTGATAAATTTCTAGCGGTCACCCCTAAATCAGAGGGGGTGACATATTGACACCAATTTCAACAGAATTGGCATTAATTAACAATGCAATTTTAAGTTTAAAAAACATGATTTTTGTGTGCGATTTTTTTCTCCAAAACTTGAGTTTTATTTAAAACCTTTATTTTCCATGTATCAAAATCAGAGGTGTCTTTATTTGTTACTTTGTAGAAATTTACAATTTTACAAGGTCTTGTGCAAAGGAGAGGCTCATATCTCTTTTCAGTGAAAAGTAATAGCAACCCAAAGTTATTGACTTGATTTCCACAAAAACTACGATGTTGCTCATTCCCGGTATATGCATTAACTGTATGCATATACCTGTACATGTATGTGTATTAGTGTATTGAGGACGTGTTCATGCTTTCAGTTAAACTTCAATCAGTGTATCTCTCTCTCTAAGTGCCATATCGATTGACTTTGGCGATCATGCTGTTCCACAACCCTTGGTTCCTAGCCTTCTGTATAAGTACCACTCCCAGTTCTTTCACTCCTCTCTCTTTCAACAATTTCTGCAGACTGTCCATCCAAAGTATCCTCCTTCTTCCCCTACTCCTTCTTCCCCTACTCCTTCTTCCCACAATTTTCCCTGTCAGTGCAAGATTCTCTAGGCCTTCTTTACGTGTGACCCATGAACTTCAACTGCCTAATCAACATCTCACGTATCATTTTCCTTTGCACTCCAGCTTGTGTAAGAACTTCCTCATCACTAACTCTGTCAGTCCAGGGGATTTTCTTCTTAAGAACCACATTTCGCAACTTTCCAAACGCTTTTTAGTATCGGAGGCTAAAGTCCACGTTTCACTACCATACATAGGTACTGGGTATATGTAACAATTCAATACTCTTATTCTGGTCCTCATACTCATTGTTCGATATGTCAGAATTTTGCCTAGCTTTGAAATTGCAGATTTAGCGAGGGCTATCCTTCTCTTGATCTCTGTCTGACATCTGGCATCCTCGGTGATCATGCTGCCAAGGTAGTTAATTGAGGAGACTTGTTTAATAATCTGTTCTTTCAGTTTCAAGTTACATTTTGGACTGCTCTTCTTAGAGACCACTTAGTCCCATTCTCTCACTTTCTTTTACAACTACATTCAGGAGTCTCTGGAGATCTTTCTCTGAGTCAGAAAATAAGAAAATAAGCAGCAGTATGATGAAGGACGTGTTTAGTGTGTTCAAATCAAGTTTTATAGATATTCTTTAAGTAAAACTCCAATTCACTGTGGGTTTGGTGTCATATGATGGATAATTAAAATACCTTTATATCAATTTCATTGAGTTATTCTAGGTTGAAAGAATACAAATTGAACCGAAAATGTGCTTTTCTTCCTTGATTTTGGCCAGTATTTTGGTAACTGTACGATAGTGATTTGACATTTAGTAATGCAGACAATTCAAAAGAGTATTTTTAGTATAGTAATAATGACTGCTTTGAGAGACATAGTTGTTTTTATATTCAAGGTGAGGTTACAATCGTGCTATTGCAAGAGGCTTGCCGAGGGCAATAGCAAATTGTGACCTCCCCGAGAGGGTATAAAAACAACTAGATCTATGTCTCGAATATTAAAGCAGTCATTATTACTTTTATATACTGAAAAAAAGAGTCAACTTATGGCACCACCTTGGCTTTTCTCTAGTTTATCTGCACGGTTGTTTTTATGAGTGTATCTTTGAGAGTTAGACTAGTCTAGGCCTAGATCTATGTAGCATTTCCCCCCTAATTCCTCACAAATTTCAGAACTGTTGAGTGTCATAACATCAATAAATACCTTGTCCTGAAGACCTACAGGATCATCCAAATCAAGCGAACCTTGGATTTTGTCTATGTCTTCTGCTCAGATAGCTGGTTTGTGAGTCACAACTCCCTTTCCTTCTTGTTTAAGCATTGCTGAAAAACACTTAAAAACTCTTGTCGAATTTGAAAAATCTTCATACTTAATTTATGATGTCGACATTGTTAGAATTGAGGAAATGACGCTGTAGTCCAGATCTAATAGTTAACATTGACTTCTTCATGTATAAAGAACCATTCTTCCGTCTATAGCACCAGCGTAAACTTTTGGAGTAGGCCTATGTTGTCCAGCTCCGAATTTGGAAGTTTGTTTAAGCTATCGAGGTCTGTGTTGATAACTTGCAGGTAGCCTAGTCTTCAAGTATTTTTTAACACAGACCTGGCTTGCTGCCGACAGAGCAAAAAAAAATCACAGGTACAAAAAACAAAAAAAATCTTTAAAAATAAAAACAAATTTTTGTTGTCCATGTTTGACTTACCAGAATTTTTTCTGGATGAAAGAAGAGCTACATGTATAGTATGATATTTAGAAATTCACTCACCAAGTATGATAATAAATCTCATTTTACTGATAACAAAATGACATATTTAACTGTGCATAAACAGGACAAAAAGACCAAACATTTATATTTTGTATGCCTCCGTTACGAAGTAGCTGAAGGCATTATGTTTCGGGTTGTCTGTCCGTCCATCCATCCGTATGTACGTACATCTGTACGTCCTGTTCTCGTGATCGCGTTATCTCAAGAACCGATTGATGGATTCCTACCAAACTGATTAGATTTGGGGGTCACGAGGTCAAAGTTAATAGGGCTCATTATGTATGCAAAAATAGCTTGTGATCACATTGTCATTAGAACCGATGGACAGTTGAAGTTTCATCTAGTTTTAAATATTCTTTTTACTTTGTATAAAGAAGAACAATGAATTGAAAATTGAAAAGGCAAGTTATCATTTCACCATAGAATTATGTACTACCCCTTTTTGTTTTTGATTAGTCTTAATTTTCAATGTAATTATTGTTGACCTGATTATCTCTTTTTTTAAAGACAGAAGCTATTGACCTATATATAAATATATATGGATGCATCAATTATGCAAAAGATTTAGTGTATCCTTACATGGAAAATGTTTGGTGAATGGACAATTATCAATATACATATATATAATATATATCTCTTCAATATAAAGAAATATGAGCCTCTCCTTTGCACAAGATATTGACCTTGTAAAATTGCAAATTCATAGAAAGATACAAATAAAGACACCTCTCTGATTTTGATTTGTGGAAAATAATGTTTTTTACTTAATATTGCAATTTTGATCAGTCACAAAAAAAATTGAATATTCAAGGTGTGCTTTAATAGTTTGTGTGATAGTGGCAGGCAAACGCTCTTTTCTGACTTTGGCCCTCCACTTTAATAATAAGAGCCGTGATATTTGTCGCTACATACAATGTTAACAGACCAAATTTAAAGGTAAAATAAACATTTCTTGTCATACCCTAATATGTGCCTTATAACTAATAATGATGTTCTTTTAAACAAATTTTTTACAGATGTTTGGACCGATATATGGTGGTCGCTACATGATCCTTCTGATGGGTCTTTTCTCCATCTATGGTGGATTTATATACAATGATTGCTTCTCAAAGTCCCTCAACATATTTGGATCTGCTTGGACAGTCAATGGAACTGAATGCTTAAAGTGAGTTTAAGCTCTACTTCATTGAAGGAGAGTTGAAATTTTAAAAGGGAAGTCCACCCTGATGTTAAGTTGGTTTTAATAGAAGCAAACAAATGAAAGAAAGAACGAAAGATGAATGAAAGATTGAGTATTGGAAGGTTAAAAATTGGCACTCAATAAATCAGTGGACTAACTCTATCCACTTAATCTGAGTTTTAACCTGGATTAAAGTAGGTAAAAAATGTACACAAAGTAAAAGCAATTAAGATAATGGTTATGGAGCTCTCACACTCTGCCGTGTAGGCCTACCGTCCACCTGCCGGGCTATTAAAAAAACAACAGAGTCTAGAACGTTGGGTTTTGAGCGAACTTGTCCCCGGCTGCAAAAAAAAAATCATAAAATTAATCTTTTTACCGTTTCGTTGCCATCTTCTGACCGTTCTCACCGGTCGCATACCGGGTGTTGAACGTGCTTCTACCGTCTTCACCGCCCAAATTGACTTTTGTTGAAAATTTTGGCCGTTTCCATACCGGGTCTCGAACGTGTGCACCGGGTTTGTAGCAGCCACCTACCAGTCACTTAGCGTCCCCTCACCGCTCGGAGCGTCCTGTGAGCGAGTCCCCGGACTGCTGACGTTCATGACACGTTCACAACCCGCTTACAACCCGTTGCAGACGGTGGATTTTTTTTTTGCCAGTTCATCACCGTTCTGTAACGGGTTATGAGCGTGTTGTGAACGTGTTCATACAGTGTGACCGTTTTCATAACGTATTCATACCGTCCTCATACTGTTCAACACCGTCCTATTGCCGCTTACTTGCGGCCGGTGCCAGCCGGCCAAAGTTTTGAACATGCCCAAAACTTTCGCCGGGTCCCACCGGGTGTAAATAAGCGCCAACGCCCTATTAACGTGTTGCCCGCTTTGAGTCAGGCTTTTGAGGAAATGGGTTAGGGTGAGGTAATAAGGCCTATACTATGGAATTGTTTTGGAAACTACAGTAATAGATTGTGTGGATAAAAACAGTCATGTGGCACTATAGTACAACTGAAAATAGAATACATTTAACAAAAATTGATGAGGGTATGAGTGCAACATGAATGCTGGCACCGCGACTGGGATGTGGATCAGATGCCATGTAATCCACAACAGACATTTTGTGTACTGCATACATGTGCATCAATTTGGATAGTATTTTTAAACAGTACATCTGGAATCATTCAGGGAGGGAGGAAGACCACAAAGCATACAAGATAGCAAAGAGAAACTCACGGCAAGTGATTTGGAAAGCCCAGGAGGCCAAGAGCAGCGAGCTTTTGGAGGAAATAACAGAAGGGAATAAAAAAAAACTATTCCAGGTAGTTAAGCAGATGGCACAAGCTGCTGTGGACGTGATAGGTCCATCATGTGTGAAAGATGAGGCTGAAAACATTGTCATTGAGGCTGCTTCAGTGAAAGAAGCATGGAGGAGTTACATGGAACGCCTCATGAATGTTGAAAACTCATGGGATGGGATCACTGAGTGTGACGCAACAGAGGGGCCAAGATGTTTCATCTCACAAGGTAAGGTTGCTCACGCCCTTTTACTCTCCAGCAAGGGAAAGGCAGCTGGTCCATCAGGAGTGGTCACGGAACTCATACTAGCATCAGGGAAGCATGGTGTTAAGTGGTTGATAGATCTGTTCAATGATATTCTAGATGAAGGTCACACATTCCATCTGACTGGACTCTGAGTGCAGTAGTCCCACTCTATAAAGGGAAAGGAGACCCACTGGCCTGTGGGTCCTATCGAGCCATCAAGCTTCTCGAGCATGCCATGAAGATCTACTAGAAAGTTCTGGAAAAGAGAATCAGAGAGCAAGTTGCAGTTGAAGAAATGCAGTTTGGCTTTATGCCAGGAAAGGGAACTATCGATGCTATATTCACCGTTCGTCAGATGTTTCTTGCAAAGAAGGAGCAGCTGTACTTTGAATTTGTCGACCTAGAGAAGGCCTTTGACCGAGTACCAAGGGAGGTTGTCAGATGGGCGTTGAGGATGGCAGGTGTTGAGGAGTGGCTCGTACGAGCAGTCATGGCACTATTTGCAGAAGCAAAGACACACATCCAAACATCGTGTGGTGACAGCAAAAGCTTTGATGTCAAAGTAGGAGTTCCCCAAGGCTCAGTGCTCAGTCCTCTCCTCTTCATCGTCGTAATGGATGTCATCTCAAAGGACATCCGGGAAAGCTTTCCATGGGAACTGCTCTACGCAGATGATTTGGTGCTGATGGCAAAGAATGAACAAGAACTGATAGCTAGAATGTCTTCATGGCAAGCAGCCCTAGAAGGAAAGGGTCTGAAAGTGAATGCTGGAAAGTCCAAGGTCATGTTGTCTTCTTCTGATGCAGGTGAGACAGAGAAAACAGGAGAGTACCCCTGCAGAGTTTGCTATACAGGTGTTGGAGCAAACTCAATCAGATGCACCAAATGCAGGAGCTGGGTCCATCACAGATGCAGTGGAATATGTGGTAGCCTGCAAGTAGCAAGTAAGACATTCATCTGTAAGAGATGCTTAGGTACAATCTCACAGAAGTGTACCAGTGACAATGTGACAGGTCTGGATCTCCATGGAACAACATATAAGGTGGATAAGTTCTGCTACCTGGGAGACATATTGGCTATCAGAGGAGGAGAGACAGCAGCTGTGACTGCAAGAATCAAAAGTGCTTGGAAAAAGTTTCGTGAACTCTCTCCGTTCCTCATCTCAAGGGCGACCCCGTTAAGAGTTCAAGGGAAGGTGTATGATGCCTATGTTAGATGCATGATGTACGGGAGCGAAACATGGGCAATGAAATCATCCAGTGTACAGCGAATGGAGAAAGCTGAGATGAGGATGGTGAGGTGGATGCGCAGGGTATCACTTCACGAGAGAAAGAAGAACAAAGTCCTCCTTCAATCAATGGGATTGATGGGGGTGGCACAGGTTATGAGGATGAATAGACTTAGATGGTTTGGACATGTGGCAAGAAGAGAGGCAACACACTGGCTCCAGAGAGCTCTAAACTTTCCGGTCACCGGAAGAAGACCTCGCGGGAGACCCAGGAAAACTTGGAGGGAAGCCATCAAAGAGGATGCCAAAACATCGGGTGTCAGTCGTGTGGATCCCACAGATAGGAAAGCTTGGAAGGCGGCCATTAAGGAAATGAAATGTCCAACCCCACAAAGTGGGACAAATGGACTCTGAATGCTAATGATGATGATGATGACATGTAGTTTTGTAGTGACCGTTGGATGAGATAACATGCAGAAACAATGCTTTGCTTATTGGCTTATTGTGTAGCACTCAACTCCATCACTGTTACTATTTCAGCGTACACATTGACAGTGTACTTGTAATCAAGTACGGTTTCCGATCGATAATTTCAGTAATGTTTGATGGATTTTAATGAAATTTCATATGAAGGTACATGATATCAAAATACATGCTAACTTCGATTTTGGAGTACGTAGGTCAAAGGTCATAGCTCATTAAATATGCGAAAAAATACACATCTGGTTTCCGATCGATAACTTTAGTAATGTTTGACGGATTTTAATGAAATTTGATATGAAGGTAAATAGTATCAAAACACAGCCTAAGTTCAATTTCCGAGTATGTAGGTCAAAGGTCATAGCTCATTAAATATGCAAAATCTGGTTTCCGATTCGATAACTTGAGTAATATTTGACAGATTTTAATGAAATTTTAAATGAAGGTATATGGTATCAAAACACAGCCTAAGTTCAATTTCCGAGTATGTAGGTCAGAGGTCATAGCTCATTAAATATGCGAATCTTGTTTCCGATCCATAACTTCAGTATTGTTTGATGGATTTTAATGAAATTTGATATGAAGGTTCATGGTATCAAAGCACAGCCTAAGTTCGATTTCGGAGTATGTAGGTCAAAGGTTATATCTCATTAAATATGCGAATCCGGTTTCCATTCGATAAGTTGAGTAATGTTTGACGGATTTTAATGAAATTTGATATGAAGGTTCATGGAATCAAAGCACAGCCTTAGTTCGATTTCGGAGTATGTAGGTCAAAGTTCATATCTCATTAAATATGCGAATCTGGTTTCCATTCGATAAGTTGAGTAAAGTTTGACGAATTTTAATAAAATTTAATATGAAGGTACATGGTATCAAAATACATGTACATCCTAAGTTCAATTTCTGAGTATGTAGGTCAAAGGAGAAAGGTCATAGCTCATTAAATATGCAAAAACACCTAATTATATATGTGAAAATGTGGTTAACTTCCTTGCCTAGTAATATAATAGTATAGTCTAATAGAGGTAACTTATTCTGACGTACATGTATATAGGCCATTTGTTCCCTGCGAGGGGATGCCAGCTTTGCGTTGACTTGTTGGTATTTGTTATGTTACTTACATGTACAAATGTAGAAAAGCCAACAAGTGAAATATATGATTTTTCGCTTAGAGGTAATACAAAGTTTTGGGAAATTTTGAAAATTGGGTGGATAGTGAATCTTTACAATTTTGATATATTTGGATGCCCCTGTGGATGTATTATAAGCACTAAAAAAATTAGCCCCTAAAACACTTCTGTTTTCGAGAAAAATTGAATATAAAAATTTACTGTTGCTCCCGGTAAATTTTGATCAATTTCAAATAGCGCCTATGGCCGTACAATGGTAGCTGCGACCATGAAAATCTCAGAATATGTAGTTGGGATATACAATTTCCAAATGGGAATAGCTAATCGGTTGATTTTAGTCAAAAAACATTGTTTTATAGCTAAATTAATATCTTGACCTTGTTACAGAGTTTATTATTTATAATATCATAACTTTAGACTCGATTTCAACTGCGACAATGATCAATGTTTATTGTAGGAACGCATATGCTTCTGATATAATATGAACCAAATTCATGACCCCATACTAAACTTTGTAATACCTTTAATATGACAATCAGAGTAGTTCATCTATTAATCAGTCAAGATTTGTTTGAAAATGTTTACAAATTAGAGGGCATTTCATACCCCTATCTTTTTTTCTTTTTTTTTAAATTCCTTTAAAGGGATTGGGTAACTTTGTCTCAGATTCTGAAACAAAATCCTGGATTTAGCTCATGCTGCATTGTGCAATGCTAATTATAAACCTTTAGGTCAGTCAGGAACCCCATGATTTTCACAAGGATCGCCTGTCTGATTATCAAGATATTTATGATTGGAAATCGAAATCAAATTTTGCGCTTTTAACAGTTTTCTTAACACTACAGTCTATTGGGTAAAACAAGTTTGGTAAAACCGATCACTTAAAGATCTTTTACTTTTTTGAGGCACTTTTTGATCATTTTGAGGCGCAATTTTTTTTTAGGGCTTCAATATTACACCATATCACAGACACTGTCTGATAACACGTAGGACCGTGCATCTCAGATTGAACATTGTCAAATGATGCCTCTAAAGCACATGTACAGTTTAAGTGCCTTAAAGTTTGTTGGTCAGATGTCTTGCGTTTAGATGATACTCCAAGATACTAGCACTAATGAAGCTGCTGTAATGTTTTTCTACTCAGTTGAACACATAAGAGATAAAATAAGTATATGACTTATTACTTCTGCCTTGTATGGAAATTCCTACTATGTCATTGAGCATCCATGTAAGATTATTTTCATAATGGTACTGCTGTTTCTCCATGTTGTTGTTAAAATAATTTTTTTATTTTAAATTCTTTTGGCAGAGACTTTGATCCAGACACTATGGCTCGGGCGATGTTAGATCCTAAAGTCTGTTTCAGTGGCAATCCATATCCATTTGGTCTTGATCCTGTGAGTATACATGTATCCCCATCAATAATTTATATAAAACCAAACATTATGCTCTGTCCCTTCAGTAGATTGTTTGCATAGTATTGTTATGAAGTTGTGAAGTGTGGAATTAGATGCATGCAGCCATTTTGTGACCTAAATGGACCAATATTTTACTTTTCTGTGTGTGAGTACTTTGTTTTTGCCTTTTCATTTTATGCATATATTCATTTCTTCATGAACAGCTGTCATATAAAAAAAAAATCGTGATTTATAATTATACTAGATTTAGCAAATCAAGCTTGTTCCCAAAACATAATTTCTCAGTGTTTGTTTTCAATAAAAGTATTCAAAAGTTTGCTTTAAAATGACCATGTTTACCACATAACGATCCCTCAAATTATGATTTCATGTTGGTTGCCATGGAAATCATTTCTCGTATTGTTCAAGTACTGTCATTAACTTATTTTGAGTGTTCATCATTCACTCTTTGAAATGTTAATTTTGGTGTTGTAAGTGTTATTGGCTAATTTTCAAACTACACCCCCTCTATACAGTGCGTCCCAGAAAAAACAGAACCGAGAATTATTGATGTTTTATCATAACTTAATCACAATTATAATTAACAAATGACACATTTGGAAAGCTTAGATCCACCTCTTTCATTTGATCTAACTCATATGATTCATATTTCACACAAGAAGAGAGGAAACCAAAAAGGCATTTGGCGGGTGGTATCTTAATTTCAAGGAGAAAATCACATTTCCAGAAAGTTCAATTTCTGCTCTTTCATATGACACCTCAATCAGGAAAAATGAGCCAAGAATAACAAAGTTCTGTTTGTTTAAAGTAATGCTTGCATTTCCATAATTTGATCAGACGAGTTCGTTTTCACCGGCTACCTGCCATAGCAACAAACATAGTTGACAAAAGACTTAACTCTGTTTCTTTGAAGATCAGCCATGCATCAGGTTTTTCGTCTTCTGTGTGCATGGCTGATCGTCAACGAAACGGAGTTAAGTCTTTTGTCAACTCTGTTTGTTGCTACGGCAGGAAGCCAGTGAAAACGAACTCGTTTGATCAAATTATGAAAATGCAAGCCTTACTTCAAACAAACAGAACTTTGTTATTCCTGGCTCATTTTTCCTGATTGAGGTGTCATTTGAAAGGGCAGAAATTGAACTTTCTAAAAATGTGAATTTCTTTTTAAAATTCACATACCGCCCAAAAAATTACTTTTTGGTTTCCTCTCTTCAAATTGCTTTTAATCACTCATGCGTGAGATATGAATCATATGAGTTGCATCAAATGAAAGAGGAGGATCTAAGCTTTCCAAATATGTGTCATTTGTTAACTATAATTGTGATTAAGTTATGATAAAACATCGATAATTCTCGGTTTCGTTTTTTCTGGGACGCACTGTATAAACAGAGTTTATAACAAAGTTCTGTTCGTTTAAAGTAATGCTTACATATCCATAATTTTATTAAACAAATTTGTATTCACTTGCTGCCTGCCGTAGCAACAAACAACAAACTGTTTCGTTGATGATCAGCCATGCATGAAGTCTTTCGTCTTCTTTGTTGTAAGGGCAGACAGCCAGTGGAACGGATTCGTTTGATAAAATTATGGATATGTAAGCATTACTTTAAACAAACAGAGCTTTGTTATTCCTGGCTCATTTTTCCTGATTGAGGCATCAAATGAAAGGGCAGAAAATGAACTTTCTAGAAATGTGATTTTTGTTTTCTTTGAAATTCAAATGAAATTCAGATACCATTCGCCAAATGACTTTTTGGTAACTCTTTCTCCAAATTATTTTCAATCACTCATGTGTGAAATATGCATCATATGAGTTGCGTCAAATGAAAGAGGAGGATCTAAGCTTTACAAATATGTGTCATTTATTAAATATAACTATGAGTAATGGTAAAACATCAATAATTCTCAGGGTTTTTTTCTGGGATGCACTGTAAATTGATCAATACAATTTGTCTCATCTTTAATAATTCATAGGAAAAGTAATAGTGGAGAGAGTATAGGGGAAATGGAAAGATGTTGTAGGATTTAAGATTCTGTAGGGGTGGCAATTTTTTGTGACACATCAAATTTTGTGGCGCTTGTAAATTTATCAGTCGGATAATAGTTTAGTAGGCTCCAGCCTCCGTTACAGTAGAAGAAATGCAATGACTAAATCTTACTTGATAAAAAAGGATATGTGGAATAGTTGTTTATCATCATATTTGAACTGTTCTATTCCACACAGATATGGCAGATTGCTCCTGCAAATAATCTGAATTTCATCAACTCTCTGAAGATGCGTCTCTCAGTCATCTTGGGTATTATGCAGATGACATTTGGTGTTCTACTAAGTTCTGTCAACCATGTGTATGTATCTAAATTAGCACTAAACGCCTGAATGTAGAACCTGTAGCCTGATGAAAACTATTTGGACCCACAACCTGATGAAAACCAGACATGAAATAACCCATACTGGGTGATGTTTGTGCTATACCAAAATCAAGTTATATTTAATGTGTTAAATTCATTCTTGTTATTTCATGAATGAAAGTATACCTTAACATGACAATTTAAAAAAAATTGAGAGCGTGATGCTTCCATTAGCAAATTATTCCTCATTCCCAGATTATTGTTTTTGGTGACACCTTTAATATACATGTACTTAAAATCTAAATATTGTGCTTGAAGTTTTTTTATTGTTTCACTTAGTATTGTTTTCATGAAAATTCAATCAAATTTTTTTGTTTTGAATACTTGCTGAATGTAGAAATTAATTATCTTGTACACTGTACTATAAATTGACTCTTCATAATATATGAAAATATTTCAAGAACTGTGAAAAACATACCTTTAATTAACTATAATTATGATATATCTTTGTAATATTGGGTTATTTTTCAATAGGTTCAGCTTAATAAATTGCCCATGATAAGTCAATTGCCTATTGTGATGAATTGTATTTGGCCATAAGTTGATCATGCCTCCCTTTTACTCATTTGTAGCATCAACGGCCAACGACATCGCCTCTTCTTGGAGTTTCTACCCCAGATCATCTTCATGGTAGCCATCTTCGGCTATCTTGTCTTCCTTATCTTCTTCAAATGGTTTGCTTTTGGACCATGGAACTCAGACACAGCTCCTAACCTCATCAATGTTCTTATCTACATGTTTCAGCTCCAAGTACCTGATCCAGTCATGTACTCTAACCAAGTAAGTCAATCTAGGACTGCTTCTCTGCTAATCAGTTTACTTCAAGGTACTGCACACTATTCCACCTCACTACTTCTGCATGTGAAAGGAATTACAAACGGATTGAAATTGGAATGTATAGATTCACCGTGATCGAGAACCTGAATATTCATATGAATAGTATTATCTAAATAGTAGGGTCAGAGAGTGTAGGAACAGTTTGCTGCTAATTGCAGTAATGTTACTAGTTCCAAGGATACCCTTCAAGGCTCGCCTTAAACCTGAACCTGTTGTGGCATGATCTCAAATAACCTACAGTTTTTATATGACTATTCTAAGATTGTTTCTGACCTAAATCATCTCCTGTTCAGACCTAATTTTATTTCATTTTTTTACAATTCAGCAGAATTAATTAGATGTGCTGTGTTGATTATTAAGCATGCTATTATACAGTACATCAAGTTATTCTTGAGTAAGAAAATAGTGAGAATTTTGATAGAAACAATATAAATATAATTCTTGATCTTTGATCATACAACAACAAAAATTGTGTACGTAAGCAAAATATGATCAGGATTAAAAGAGGGCAAATGACTTAACATCCCCCCCCCAAAAAAAAACGAACACACAGAGGACTTCACCTATGATTGCTTGATCTATTTGCTGTTATATTGATATTACTCACCTACCCCACATACAATATGATAGTCATTTGAGAATGTTGCATTGGTCAAATGCTACCATATGAAAATCAAGAGCGTTTTATATCTGCATGGATGTACAATTAAACAAGCTTTTTTTGCATGGTAGAAAAAAGAATAAAAAATTACACTGGCTATTCTTGTGTGCCTGTACATATCCATTGGCATTGTCTGCAGTGTATTAGCTGCATGTAGTAAAGCTGTAGGTAGACTGGTGTAATCAAGATTGACAATTCCATAAGAAGCAAGATCATAAATATCCTTATTTTCATAGAATAATAACTGCATGAATATTATAGTAATAATGACTGCTTTGAGAGAAATAGTTGTTTTTATACGCTCAAGGGAAGGTTAGAATTGTGCTATTGCCCTCGGCGGGCAATAGCACAATTCTAACCTTCCCTTGAGCGTATAAAAACAACTATTTCTCGAATATTAAAGCAGTCATTAATACTTTTACATGCCGAAAACAAAAGAGTCAACTAATGACACCACCTTGGCCTTTCTCTAGTTTATCTGCACAGTTGTTTTTTATGAGTGTATCTTTGAGAGTAGACTAGATCTAGATTCTAGTCTAAGCAAGATATTTTTACAATTTTGGGGGTGGGCCGGCCCTGTGGGGAATAGAGAGAAGAACCTGCGCTTTCATATGACACCTCACTTATTGAGTATCACCTTCAGGATCACAACAGATAAAGGTTTGAATCTTGAATTGAAAAAAAAAAACTTGACTTTTTTTGCATGGTCGCGCAATGCACGTAGACTGCATAGAGACTGCATTGCGTGTAATCTCTATGGGAAGAATACAGCACACAACATCGGGTGCGCGATCAGACACCCTGACAACTAGATCTATTTTCGTCTACGTCTATGCTGGTACTCCATTTTCAGCAACTAAACGAACATGTTTATGGATAATTTCACGTACCTTTTTTGTTGTTCTTGCTGTCAGCGAGTCTTGCATTTGATAAGTTGAAATCTTGGGACAGTTTCTTTAGCCATTTTTGTCTTGTTTGGAATTGTCGTCTTGTATGAAAATACCGACCAATTCTTCACAGACGTACGGTATCCTTGATCGCTCAAACCATTTTTTAACATGTAAACTTATGGGGTAACCATGGAGACTGAACTGATTTCCCGGTAACCATGGTTACTGGGATTTTAGAACTGTTTTAACTATGGTTACTGGGAATTTTACAGAAATAGTTAAAGTTTATGAATGCAATTTCGACCAATCAGATGGCTGGATGTCTTAAGTGAGGTATATAATTGTTTTTATATGCTCAAGGGGAGGTTACATCGTGCTATTACCCTCAGCACGCCTCGGGCAACAGCACAATGTAACCTTCCCTTGAGCGTATAAAAACAATTATAAACCTCACTTATGAAATCCAGCCATCTGATTGGTCGAAATCCAGTCGTGATTTTAGCCATTCCCGTAAAGAAACGAAAAATGCCAGACCTCTGTAATAGTCCAAGAGTAAAATCCCGGCAAAATTCCAGTTACCGGGAAAATAATAAAATCTTGCTGCAATACCCATTATAGCACGATGTAACCTCCCCGAGAGCATATAAAAACAACTATGTCTCTCAAAGCAGTCATTATTACTATACTATGCCTCGAATATTAAAGCAGTCATAACTTTTTATACTGAAAAAAAAGAGTCATCTTATGACACCACCTTGGCCTTTCTCTAGTTTATCTGCACGGTTGTTTTTTATGAGTGTATCTTTGAGAGTAGACTAGATCTAGATTCTAGTCTAAGCAAGATATTTTTACAATTTTGGGGGTGGGCCGGCCCTGTGGGGAATAGAGAGAAGAACCTGCGCTTTCATATGACACCTCACTTATTGAGTATCACCTTCAGGATCACAACAGATAAAGGTTTGAATCTTGAATTGAAAAAAAAAAACTTGACTTTTTTTGCATGGTCGCGCAATGCACGTAGACTGCATAGAGACTGCATTGCGTGTAATCTCTATGGGAAGAATACAGCACACAACATCGGGTGCGCGATCAGACACCCTGACAACTAGATCTATTTTCGTCTACGTCTATGCTGGTACTCCATTTTCAGCAACTAAACGAACATGTTTATGGATAATTTCACGTACCTTTTTTGTTGTTCTTGCTGTCAGCGAGTCTTGCATTTGATAAGTTGAAATCTTGGGACAGTTTCTTTAGCCATTTTTGTCTTGTTTGGAATTGTCGTCTTGTATGAAAATACCGACCAATTCTTCACAGACGTACGGTATCCTTGATCGCTCAAACCATTTTTTAACATGTAAACTTATGGGGTAACCATGGAGACTGAACTGATTTCCCGGTAACCATGGTTACTGGGATTTTAGAACTGTTTTAACTATGGTTACTGGGAATTTTACAGAAATAGTTAAAGTTTATGAATGCAATTTCGACCAATCAGATGGCTGGATGTCTTAAGTGAGGTATATAATTGTTTTTATATGCTCAAGGGGAGGTTACATCGTGCTATTACCCTCAGCACGCCTCGGGCAACAGCACAATGTAACCTTCCCTTGAGCGTATAAAAACAATTATAAACCTCACTTATGAAATCCAGCCATCTGATTGGTCGAAATCCAGTCGTGATTTTAGCCATTCCCGTAAAGAAACGAAAAATGCCAGACCTCTGTAATAGTCCAAGAGTAAAATCCCGGCAAAATTCCAGTTACCGGGAAAATAATAAAATCTTGCTGCAATACCCATTATAGCACGATGTAACCTCCCCGAGAGCATATAAAAACAACTATGTCTCTCAAAGCAGTCATTATTACTATACTATGCCTCGAATATTAAAGCAGTCATAACTTTTTATACTGAAAAAAAAGAGTCATCTTATGACACCACCTCGACTTTTCTCTAGTTTATCTGCACGGTTGTTTTTTGTGAGTGTATCTTTGAGAGTTACACTAGATCTATGTAGCATTTTCCCCCTAATTCCTCACAAATTTCAAAGCTGTCGAGTGTCATTTCACGCAAATTCTCCCTCCCACGGTTGCATAAATACAACATTACATCAATTGAAGACCTACAGGATCATCCAAATCAAGCGAACCTTGGATTTCGTCCATGTCTTCTGCTGAGATAGCGGTTTTGAGAGTCATAACTCCCTTTACTTCTTGTTTAAGCATTGCTGAAAAACACTTAAAAACTCTTGTCGAATTGGAAAAATCTTCATGCTTAATGAGGTCGACATTGTTAGAATTGAGGAAATGATGCTGAAATCCAGATCTAATAGTTAACATTGACTTTTCCATGTATAAAGAACCATTCTTCCGTCTATAGCACCAGTGTAAAACTTTTGGAGTAGGTCTACGTTGTCCAGCTCCGAATTTGGAAGTTTGTTTAAGCTATCGAGGTCTGTGTTGATAACTTGCAATTAGCCTAGTCTTCAAATATTTTTATGGAGAATTTCACAGAATTTTAGGTGTTCTTGCTGTCAGCAGAATTAATCAAGTCTTGTGATTGATCATCATCAAGAAGAAGTCTAGGAAGAGTTTTTTCAGCCATTTTTTATAAGTAGAATCTAGGCCGGATTTAGTAGTACCATCGAGATCGCCGGTCATCTTATTAAAAAACCTAAAAAATTCAGCAACCAATTCGCACACACACAATGTATGGTATCCATGCTCGCTCCAAGAACATTTTAACATGTAAACCAATGGGTATCGCAGCAAGATTCTATTATTTTCCCGGTAACTGGAATTTTGCCAGGATTTTACTCTTGGACTAAAATATACCAGTAGGGTTGGCATTTTTTGTTTCTTTACGGGAGTGGCTAAAATTACGACTGCAATTTCGACCAATCAGATGGCTGGATTTCTTAAGTGAGATATATAACATTTATTTAACTCACTCATAGATTCTATTCAAATAATTGGTCAAACACAGTCACATGTGATTCATCTTAGTATACAGTGATTATCAAATACTTTTTCATGAAAACATGTACAATATTTTCCAGCACTGTCCAACGATTTATAAGTAGGCAATGCACAACAGTGCATGTTAAGGTTAATGCGCTTTTTATACACTGTGTGTTGGTCCATACATTTGTAGCACTGCGCATTGACGCATGTTGCGGTAAGTGGGCGTTAAACTAAGCCTTTAAACCTAGGGTTTATTTGCCAGCGATAAGACACAAAACAGTCTTGAAATTCATTTTTTTTACATCATATAACAAGGATCTAGTAGTTCATTACAAAGTCTATCCGCTCTTGTTAAGCATGTATCATTTGTGTAATATGTCATATGCTCCCATTTAAGAATTCGCCCTGTACGTGCCATTATGTTTCAACCTAGGCCTGGAACTTCAATGAAATTTAGCTGGTCTCATTGTAATGTGATTTTGTTGATTAATGTATTTGTTTTTTTAAACTCAAAGGCATACAATATGATATTGAATTTGTTTGTCAGATATGTTATATTTCTAGCTATTAACATCAAAGGATATTGTTTGGGATTCATTGAGAATTTTACTTTTCACTGTAACCAGAGTTTAAGACTACCTTTAGATAGAAAAGATAATTTGTTTAAAAAGTAATCTAAATTACAGTTTGATAATTTTCTTCATCTGTTAATTAGACATAGATTTTATTTATAAACTTTATTTATATTCATTTTCATTTATTCTATTCCCAATATAAAGAATGTGCGAAGATGTAAGTCTTGTTGTTCCAATAATATAGGGTCTATACCTTGAAAAGTGGTGAATAGAACAAAAATAAGGTGTTTTTACATGATTCATATTCCCTGTGAATGAAGCAGAGTTCATTCATGGGGAATATGAATTCCATTTTCTGTATTCATTATTAATAAAATAATGAAAAGGATCTTTTCATCCCTAGGGAAAAGTAACAACCCGGTAGTCAAAAGACTTAAAAAGAATTTTTATGATTTACTCTACACCCAATTTTGCAGTATGAGAACATCTGAGGTAGTTTTTTTCTAACCCCTTCAGAAACTGGTTCAGATGATTCTACTGGCTTTGTCTTTAGTGTGTGTACCTTGGATGCTACTAGGAAACCCCATCTATCAGTACTTCAAACACAGACATGCTGAAAAACTCAGAAGCAATGTAAGTTCATTCATGTCAGCATGGATGCATTAGATTATTATGCTTTACAATTGTTACTTTTGCTGTTTATACTTGATATAATTTTACTGTTAAGGGAATACTAAATGGTAATTATTATTTTATTATCTTATTCATATCATGATGATGTTTGTGCTTGTGAAGGAAAGGGAGACTTGAATGATCATTCCTTTGATTACCTACAGTAGCACAATGTCAGGTGATGTATTTAACAGCAGTATATTCATCAATTTAACAAGACGGAAGGACTTTTCCAAACAGCATCTATAGAGTTTAAATTCTTATTCATACAGACAATTACTACATCTTAAGTACTATTTTTTTAATTATCCTATAATACAGAATTTGTTATACCTCCTCCACTACCAAAGGCAGTATATATATTTTTTGAAGCATCAAGCACTAATAAGCACTTATCTTGACAATTTGTAGTCATCCGTATACCTGTGGCATTGGATAAGAGGAGGAAAAATAATGATGATAATATTAGATATTTGTATAGTGCTGATATCCACTAGGCAAGGTGCTCAATATTACCCTGGCTCTGGTAGGCTACCGATCTCAGTGCTCACAGCATTCAAAGAATTTCTGGTACCCATTTAACACATGGGCAGAGAGTGGCAAATGCATTTTAATGTCTTACCAAAGGGCATTACTGCAGCATCAGGACTCAAACCGTAAACCATATGATCCACAGTCTGACAACAAATCCACTACTTGCATTTCTGAATTCCTTCTTACCAGGGCTATATGCCATTGCCAACGAGTGACTCTGTGAATGTTGATGATGAGGATGTTCAGGTCTTGCAGGCTGTTGTTGCTGAAGGCAATGGACGGCCCTCTACATCCAGTCTATCTCAGTCTTTCAATGATGATGTATTTGAAGAGTCACTCCATGAAGAGGAAAAGGTAATATACAGGAGATATTCATTATGACGAGGAAATTGTGACCATTAAAATTACCTTGTTATATCAGGTATCTTGTTATTTAAGAGCTTCTTTATAATGTGCTACAAGAGTTCATTGACCCTATTTCTCCCATAGGAAGAAATACCATACCATAATAGGCCATTTTCATAATGTAACCAAATTTATACTTAAGTGCCTCGATGCGAAATACTGGTATTTCATTTACCTGTTAAGAATAGTCAGTATGCAAATTGCATATATTACATGTTGTTAGGAAGGGCAAGCCCTAATGTCTGTCCTAGCTAGCAACAAATTGTGTATGCAATTTGAATTCTTTATACTTTTGAAATACATTTATTATTGAGAGCACAATTTAACAAGGTTTCACATAATGAGGTAATTCTCTCTGTTCCAAAATTTTCCACATGTAAACTTGAGGTGCAACAACCGTTTAGGAAACAAAATAAGTCTGTTAGCCTACACATAGATGGAACTGTTATCACTGGTCTATCCATATAAAATGGAGTGAGTAATGGGATTGCTTTATGGTGTAAAGACAAGCATTATTAAATTAAAAAAGATTTTAAATTCAATACGTTTTTGAACTGGGAGCCAGTGGTAATGTCTTAGGATTGGAGTGATATGAAAGAAACTCTTGCATACATTTCTGTTCTGATATTTGTTATTATTTGGGTATAATGAGTTATGCCTCCCCTATAATACCAAAGGTTATTTCTGGTTGTCTTGGTTGTCTGTACGTCCTGCTTTCTTGTTATCGAGATATCTCATGAACAACTTAAGATATAAACTTCAAACTTAATGAAGTATATATCACCATAGAAAGAAAATCTGATTAGAAACTAGGTCAAAGGTCACAGAGGTCAACTTTTGAAATTTCAGGTATTGACCTCGTCATCGCGATATCTCGAAAACCACTAAAGATACGAGGCTCAAACTTGTAGATATTATTTGATGATATTTGATCAGATTTTAGGTTAATAAGCCCGAGGTCACTTAGGTAAATTGTCTGTTTTTTATGCCTCACATATACAAAGTAGCTGGAGGCATTATGTTTTCGGATTGTCCATCCTTATGTCCAACTGATGGATTCCCGCTAATTTTTTTTTTTTGTCTTCAAAATAGGGGTGCGCCTTATACACAGGTGCGCCTTATACACGGAGATTTACTGTAGTTGTTTTTTATAGACTCTCGGGGATGTTGCATCTTGCTATCACGCCACGTCCCCTTGAGCCTTTAAAACAACTATTCCTCTCATAGCAGTCATTATATCTATACTATTTATGCTGGAAATATTGAATGCATAGTTCTCCATTACATGTCTTTCGCTCTCCCTCTCTCACATCTCTTGCTTTGTTTCCCTTCCCCTCTCTTGTTCTGCCCCCTCTCTTTCTCTTGCTCAGTCTCTGCATCTCTCTATCTCTCTCTCTACTCTCTCAACCTCTCTCTTTCTCTATATCTATCTACTTCCATCTCTCTCTCTCTCTCTCTCTCTCTGTCAACACCATAGATCCTTTGAAAAAAACAGACAGACTACCTCATTTGTCTTCAAGTGACAAATTCATATCTCATTATTATTTATGTATTTTTTATGGTTGTTCGCTTTGCTCCCTTGCAAACTCTAGAGATGAATGTGGCCATGTGTACATGGCACTTGAAGAGTGCAGAACTTTTTATTTCTCAAAAGAGAACTGTGACCACTAAAAAGTTGAAAAACGCAGGTATAGAGAGATTGAGAAAGAGAGGGAGGGGGAGAGATGGGAGGGGGGAGAGAGAGAGAGAGAGATATAGAGAGAGAGAAAGAAAGGGGGAGGGAGGGAGAGATACAAGAGAGAGAGAGGGGAGGAAGGAAGAGATATGAGAGAGGGAGAAGGGAGAGAGAGAGAGAGAGAGAGAGAGAGATGGAAAGAAGTGAAGTCAAGGAGAAATTGGAAGATAAAGGGTAGGGGCACATACAGGGAGAGAACACAAGAGATGATTGTGGGATGAGGAAGTTGGGACAATCAGAATTATATGTCAGATTTCATGCATCCTTCTTTTCATTTTTGTTCTAGTTTGATTTAGGCGAGATCTTTACCTTGCAAACCATCCATACAATTGAATACTGCCTTGGTTGTGTATCTAATACAGCATCCTATCTCCGTCTATGGGCTCTCAGTCTAGCACATGCAGGTAGAACACTTCATCTCAAAAACCTCTTTTTAGAGCTTATTGTGTTTGGTTAATTTCCCTTGGGCAAATCAAGACTGCTTTAACAATTAGGGCCCAGTGCCCAATAAGCAAATTGTGGATATAGGAATGAAATCTGTATAATCTGCATCTTTAAATAGTAGTAAGAAACAACAAACATGAGCACCTTTTTTTTCTGCCAGCTCCATACTTGTACATAAATGATTTAAATCTGATTTAATTTAAATTGATTTTATTTTTAATTTATCAGTTGTTTGTTACAAAGTTGATTTCCAGACCCCCAAAACAACTTTTGAATCAGAAAAATCTAAAATGCATACATAACCTTTTGCAATGTTAAGATGAATACACAACATCAAAAATTGCTTTAAATTATGTGGACAATGATGGTAAATTTATTATGTGGACTTTATTACTAAATTCATTGTAATTCATTTGTGTGTGTTTGTATTCATAGAGCTATCAGAAGTACTATGGAAGATGGTGATGAAGAATGGCTGGTTTCTGGATTCCATGTTTTCTGATAAGAGTGGTGTCTGGGAATATGTGTCAGCTATAGCGGGAGGATTCAACTTGTTCTTTGTGTTTGCTGCCTGGGCTGCTATGACTGTAGCTATTCTGCTCTTGATGGAGGGATTATCAGCATTCTTACACACATTGCGATTACACTGGTATGTAGCCTCATAGTTGAAGGGAGTCTGGCGGTGCCATTCTGTTGAGAAAATACTTGAATTGTTGATTAAGTAGCACATTGGTTTCGTCCATGTATAACAGTTAATTGGACCATGGAAATTATGACTTGAATTCATGCTGAAAATCAGATTTTCTTTAGAGCTCATACACAAATAAACATACACAGGATTATTTTGTTATGGCTTATGGCTGTTAAATTCAATATTTGCACCAGTGAAATGAAAATAAGACAGTTTTCAAAGAAATTTTTGTTATAACTAATTGTAACAATTTTATCTAAGTCAAGAAGAATTATTGAAAAGGTGAAACTACCATTTATGAAGACAGTGGCAATGATAGTAAGGAGTTGAGGTTTTATGAAGTATGTTAGAACTTTGTCGGGGTGATGGTTAAGTTTTTTTCATGCCATTTGTTTCTTCTTCTTTTTTGCTATTTTAGAGCAATATTCTTTGTGAGCATTTTTCTTGTTCTGCTTTGTCACTCGCAGGATTGAATTTCAAAACAAGTTCTACAAGGGGGAAGGTTATGTTTTTCTGCCCTTCAGTCTTGCCAACCTGGAAGCAGAGGAGTAGGACAGACTCTGGTTTTAGTCCTATCCAATCTAATTGAAGATTAACAGTTGTCAGTATAACTAGTGCTTGTGCCTGGCAACTTTACTTTAGTTCCAGATCAATTCAAGTCAAATCACTTAATCAAAAATAATATGAATTTTTTTTTTGAATGATTTTCATTTGCTGATAATCAACATTTATCAAGTATGAGAGCATTCCTAATTTATTCAGGATATAGAAGCACTCACATTTTATCACACCTGTCCTTTATGAATATGCTTTGGCTACCTAGTGTCATATATATTTCATGTGATATTACCTGTATAATATGTGGAAATTCAGATGTCATGCACCATGGGTATCATACTACTCTGAATGAAATTACTGATATAGTAGACATGTACTTCCAAATTTGAAAAGCCATAATGAAAATCGACTTGAGAGCAAATTTAAAGAGAAGCTGGAAAGCAACCATTAATATTTGTCATATCTAATTTTCTTTTTTTTTAATTGATGTAAAAAACATGTTCTTATATATATTCTCTATATATGTGATTGCAAGATTTCTTAACCTTCAAAGTGAAATTCAAGGTTAAAGAAAAATCAAGAGGTCGTTCAACTTAATGTTATCCAGACATGGAAAATAGTGGTATTTTGCTTATAATCACTGGAAATATGTCACTATCAGCAAATTGGCCCTGTACTTATTGAGATATGGTTGTTTAAATATTTGAAAGTGTCAATATTTAGTTAAATTTTAGCTTCTAAAGCTTCAACTTTATTATATACCAATTTTGAGGATGAGGGATTCCAGCCTTTTGGTGATCTAGCTGACAAGCAAAGACCCATTTTCAGTTCCCATTGTGGATTTTCACATCCAAAGCATCAAAGACCTCAAGCCTAGTTACAAGTTACTATGAAAACATTCCACTGCAGCCATGTAGCATATTATGATTACTCTATTACAAATATGGTATAAAATACATTCTACTGATATTGATTTTTATGCCTCAGCTACAAAGTAGCCGGAGGCATCATGTTTTTGGGTTGTCCGTCTGTCCCATTCTTGTGATTGCCAAACTTGGGTCATGTATGAATCTTGCAGAACCAATGAACCGATTAGATTTTGGGGTCACAAGGTCACAGGGCTCATTATGTATGCAAAAATAGATTGTGGAGAACCGTTTAAGGGATTACCATCTAACTCAAGACATGTACAGTATGTATCTTGCTTAGCCAATGAACTGATCAGATGTTGAGGTCATGAGGTCAAAGGTCATAGGACTCATTATGTATGCAAAAGTTGCTTGTGATCACATTGTCATTAGAACCAATAAACGGATTGCTGTCAAACTCAGGACATGTGACGGTATGTATCTTGCAGAGTCAATAAACTGATTAGATTTTAGGGTCATCAGGTAAAAGATCAGAGGTTCATATATATATATATATATGAAAAAATATGAAAACTTGAATTGTAAATATTGCTTCTGTTTTGGTTTGTAAAATGGCTCTATGGCGGAGGCATCATTTTCGACTGCACACAGAGCAGTCAAAGTTCCATCTAGTTTCAAATTGTTCTTGTGGGTTGTGCTGAAATGAATGCCATACAGGTATATATATATATCGATCAGGTTAGCCAGACAAGCATTTGAGTCATCTTCATCATCCCCCCCCCCCCACCCCAAAATAAAACATTGTTTCCTTTATCCACCTTTTCTTTTTCTTCTCCTTCTGCTTCCCATCATTCATGTTTCTTGTTATGTTTCATTCATTATTCAAACTTGTTCAACAGTTCAGATATTAAAGAAAATTCTATATACCCATTACACATCACTCGATATCATGTATATTGATGGCATTGATCCATATTACTTTGAAATGGAGTCAACGCCCTTGTGACCCCAGACGACATGTTAAACGTTTTGGATCACATATTGGGCTGTTGTTTCTTTTTTGTAGTATCTATAAAAATATATGTACTATAACAAAGGGATAGTTGAGTCTGCAAATGCCTTTAAAGTGCATGGTTATTGTTCTTATTCTTATTCATGACATTTCTAGTGCCTTTAGGACCAAAAAATATGTGAAATTTAGATCCACTTTCAAAAAAATATGGTGACCGTTAATCGACTTAGATAATAATTAATAATATCAATGCGCGGGCCGGCTGGTCATGCTGTGTTATAACCGAAGTAAAAAGCCAACATTGGCATTGTTTTTCAACGGCTGGTTAAAAATTATTGAATGGTTATATTTATGGATATTTTAGCTGTCTCAGACATTTTATGTTCTTTCAAATTTGACTCTCAGTTTTTCATTATTCATTATCTCACCAAAATAATTGTTTTGTGTAGCGCTCTCTATAATAATACTCAACTATTCCTTTAACCATAATTGTGAATAAAGTGATATTGAAACAATTATCTTACACGTATACTCTCTATAATTGTCTAAGGCAAAGTTATGTATATTTGTTATTGATCATCATAGGTGTTTTTCACTTGTACTTCATTATCTAAATTATTTAATAATTGATTTATGTATATGTATGTGTCTTCAATGCAATGAGTCTTTGTTGTAAATTTCTAATTTCAACCATTATTTGAATTGAATACATGAGAAAAAGAAAGGCCTATGCCCATCACATTTTCTTATCAAGGAAATGTTTTTGATGAACTTGGGCCCTTCTTCCTCTAAGATTAAAGAAAAGGTTGAGTTCTGGGAAGAGGTGAACAATAATTTGTGAGCGTTATCATTGTATTATGCAAAGAACATCGGATTAAAAATGTTCCCTGAAAAGCATAGCTCTACAAATGACCAAATATTCTGAATATGGCATGTAACATCATAAAAATTGGGACGTATTTTTATGCCACATGTTCGTGTAGTCTCATGTGAATCTTTCTGTGTACAGTTCTTGTAACTATACCAAGACTGGGCCAAATTTCTTATCATTTTGATGACTCCAGAACCTTGCAGTATACACCAATACTTACATGTATGCTAGATGATCAACATTTTCTGATCCACAAAGTTTCTTTCGCAATGACCAGAACTCAACTTTTGTATTTAGACTAGATGTGGGAAAGATATATAAATGAAAGCAATAAAACAAATTATTAATAGATAAAATATTACCTCATAATAGTGATTCATGACTCTAAACATGTACAGTATTTTAAGGAAAAATACCCCTCGTAAAAGTTTGGAAGCTCAAGTATGATTGATTATATCTCTCGTCATGGCATATATTGATGGCATTGTTTAGTATCATTTAAAGGGGCATGTTCCCCGTATTCCAGAGGGCGTTCAAAATACGTACCCGCTGGCGGACGGTGCTAGCTGCCTATTTACACCAACAGAATACGGCTCTTACGCAGATGGCATGTTCCGAATGCCCGCACAATGCCGATTATCGCATACATGTGCCGAAGTAATACCAACCGCAGTTCGGCTCTAAGATTCGGCTGCTGTTTCCACCCACGTCACAATCGGCAGCGATCAGCTGGCTTGGCGAAGGCAGGCCAAGATGCGCGTACTTTGATTGACAGCTGTATGCAAGTAAGAAGTCGATCTTCGGAACCAAGATGGCGATGACTAGAGCAGCGATAACTACACTGGCGGGAACGTGCCCCTTTAAAGGCTGTCTTTACTAGTTTGGCCAGGGGGATTAGACCACACAGCAAGGTCACTGACAGGTGGCTATCTCATCAACTCGGCTCTCAAAAACAGGCACCGATCAGGTAGTGTTTCTATATAGAGGGAGCAAGTAGCTACAAGTAGTAAAGTGGGGCTTTAAAAGAGGGTATATTTCATTTGTTACGAGTTTTCAGTCATAGAAAGTGCAGTAGATGCACTGCTCTTGTTTGACACAGTTGTTAACCTAGGCACAATTGTTCAGAAAGTTAATGACCAAACGGTAATGAATTTTGCTTGACATGTCACCATAGTGCTCAATTTCAGATTCTTTAGAATTTGGGATTCATGGATGACCAGTTGGGAACAATAGCCCCACTGTCTTTTACAAAAATCTCTCTTGTAATTGCTGAAAAAGAAGAGTGCTCTGCAATACTAGTATACACTGTACCAATTATTTTGGTAACTTCTCACTTTTTACTAATAATCAAAGTGATGATTATACTTTAAGAGTGCTATAATTGATCCAATTTGCTGTATTTTGTTTGTGTGTTTAATTGACCATATTTAAAGTTCACCATCTCCACTCCATGCGAAGTATTCCTAACATAGGAACTTAGCAAGAGCATATGGCAATTATTAACACAAATTTGTTTGTCATCCCATTTCTCGCCTGCATGGAGTGGCAAATGTAGATTAATGCTGTGAAGGAAACTATATTGTGCCTTTTTGTTTCAATATTGAATAAAAGATGAGTTTAGTACTTGATTGCAATAAATTACTGTAATTGTATATTTTTATGATTCTTTGTGCATTTTGTGCGAGACATCACAGCTACAATTTTCTCACCTATCTTCTGTAACAGCAGAATTTGAAATGATAAGAGCTAGACAAGCAAATTAAAAAGAAAAAATATATATCAAGCGAAAGTAGACTTCCTAGAACGGGACAATGAATCAGAATGAAAATATCAAGTACACAATGACACTATTATCCACTAACATGAAGCATTTCTGTCTTTCTTGTCAAGAAAATTGATTGATATGTTTAATCAACAATAATAATTGTATAAAAGAAATAAAACACATGTATTCTAAACACTTACCCATTTGACTGGGTCAGGATGCATAAAAATATTCAACGTACCTGTATTCAAGGGCGTATTTAGCGGGATGTATTAGAATTTTGAAGACTCCCTTTATCTGTGTTTTTTTCAATGAACCCCCCCCCCCCCTATTGCTTTTACTTAGGTGATTGCAATCACTTAAGTTATTTCAACCTTTTTATATTTTTGGCCTGCAAATGGGACATAGTACCTTTAATGCATGTATATGAACATCTCATTAATTGTTAGTATATCTTGCTTAGTTTCATTAATAGAGATAGAGATAGAGAAGGACTGGAATCAAGCCTGTCCTTTGACCCCATTCTCCAAGCCGCCAAAAAGTTATGCGCTTATCTGCAACTGTTGACCAGGTGGTGGGATAAAAGAGCGCATGAAATTTCAAGATTCAGAATTCCTACATCAGAAAATAGTACTACAGCAACTGTTCGCTGTCCCTTTGAACGAGTCTCATCCATTGTTGAATGTGTAAAAGAGTAGAACAAGCGAACACAAAAATTGTGTAATTTCATCCTTTTTCCAACTGCAAAAATACCCCAAAAAATGCGAAAACATGCATTAGCGAACTTAAAAGTTATCAAAGATTGTAAATCATGGATTACATAACGGGACATTAAAACATGCACAAATTTACTGCATTTTCCTAAAATATTGAGGTTTTGTCAGGATCTAATTTTTCTTTTACCAACTCTGGCACACAAATTATAGGAAGGGCGAGGTCCTAAATTTGGAAAATTGTTTGATGCACTATTCCCAATACAATCCCCATATAAAGTTTATAATTTGCACTGAAATTTCGCCGGTAATTTAATATTTTGTAATAAATGTGAAACTGGTACCTGGCCTCCAAAGTTCACCGCAGTGGAAGCGCGGCTCGGAGCATGGGACTTCACAGCCAGAACTCACAAATGCGTTTGAATAAATTACAAGAGTTTCGACTCCTTTCTTTCACCTCCCTGATTAAAGTGACTCGGTAACATTGTTGAGAGCTGATGAAAAAATTGCATAATTTTCGAATGAAACATTACTTATTATATTCCTTCTACTGTACTAACCCTTTAACATGCAAAAAATCAACAAAAAAATTCTCAAACCACAAAGATATATATGGTTTTCTTTGAAAGTGTCACTGTGCAACACCCTCTAACTGATCAAACCGCAAACCCGAGTAAATGGCCATGAAGTCGGATATTGAAATACCCCCTTCTTTGCTTGTTGCAGAGGAGGCCTAACCCAGCTGATCAACTGTTTTCCAAACGTAGCGTTCGCGCTACTTTCCGTCTCTCTCCCTCCCTCGGACTCTTTTTCTTTCAGGCTGCCCCCTTCTCCCTTCCCTAGTTCACTGTCTCTCCCACCTCTCTCTCTCTCTCTCTCTCTGCTTGTCTCCTCCTCCTCCTCCCCCCTCCTCTCTCTCTCTCTCTCCGACTCTGTTTCTTTCAGGCTGCCTCCTTCAGTATCTCTCCCTTCCCTAGTTCTCCGTCTGTCTCTCCCATCTCTCTCTCTCTCTCTCCTCCCCCCCCCCCCCCTCCCCCCACATTGTTGACTTTGGGATCAGGGGTTCTTGGCAGCCTCCCAATACCTCCATCCAAGCAAGGGGGTATTTCATTTTTGCTACGAGGACTTTACATCATGTTAACAGTAAATTCATTTTTGAATTTTCCCAACCGTTTTTTTTTCATGAAAAAAGGACATAAGACAGGCTTTAAAAAATCTGTCGGCACTTAAATGTCTGGAATGGTATATAGAGCAAATTCGTAATTAAATTTGTAAAATGCAATTAAATTGTATTAATATAGTTCAGAGAATTAAGGAGTCGATTAGATCAGTTTTCCCCAATTTATATCATTAATAATGGTCCGTTTTCACTTAAACTTTCATATTTTCTTTAAATTTACATCTAGCATTGAAGTCACTACCTTAGCACCACTTTCCCTCATCTGAACAATGTTACCAAGGCCCTTTAATACGAACATCAAATACTGAACAAATAACCCACACATATACATGATATATTCCAAATAGAACAGTACTTTAATAGTAACAAATGTGACAAACCTTTCTACAATAATTCAAAAAAAATTGTAAGTACTACTAGTTCCAAGATATACATGATACACAGCATACATGAACACATACTTATAACATCTTGTGTTGCATCCATAAATAAATGGTTGCTTTTATTTTTCCAATTTCTTTATTCTTTCTCAAATTTTGATATTCTGGGGCTTTTGTTTTAGAAGTAAATATGGTAGGTTAGTGCATGATGAATTCATTGAACAATGGTACATGGTATCAAGATATGATCTATAACAAAATTAGAAAATGATAATAAATCAATAACAAGTTGTAGTTCTGTTGTGTTCGAGTTGAGACAATTCAGTTTGTGTCACCCAGCTGAGGAAGTCCCGGAGTCCCAGACACAGCATGGTCTCAAATAATACAAGAAAAGGACCGAAACTGTACAGCGGAAGAAAAATCTAGTAAATGCTGCAGTTTTTGCCAAACCTTTGTTATATGCACGAATCATGATTGTAGTGCTGCATGTCACTGGCCGCAATTTTCGTAGATAGGGAGAAAAGTTCCTTCATCATCTACACAGCAGGATGGTATTGCCATCATCCTGTACCCAAACAGACGAGAATTGTTTGCGAAGCCTTATTCCAGTGCCTTGCATCGATGCCAAATTCTGCAACTTGACATGTCAAACTATTATAACACGTACCGCGTGTGCTTCATGCATTACAAAAAAACACAACCATGCAGGGCATTATTTGGTAAGACTTTTTAAAGAAATGTGTATTCAACAGCATATTAATTTCTATTACCGGTAGCTACATTCAATCTTGAATATAGTCTGTATAATACGGACGGTGTACAGTGATATGCATGCACGAACTTATAGCCAGGGATGCCAGTTTACAGGCAAAAGCCTGAATTCAGGCCCTGCCGATTTATTTTCAGGCCATAGTTGAGGATTTTTGTGTACAAAATAGCTCATTCTAGGTGTTTTCAGGCCCTCTGATCAATTCTAACTGGCATCCCTGTATAGCGTTCAAACGTGAAGTTGATACTGTAGGGTTGCGGTTCTAACACAATTCCTAGCAAAGGCAGCCCAGCAGACCTGTTGTGAGATTGATACCCACTGGCTAACTAACCAGGTTTTAATGTGTAAATGCATTACCGGTACTGCATTCTATGTAGCATTCCATGCAAATTAGAAGAAACAAACTAATATTCATATAGTCACCTAGCTTGACTGCATCTGGTGAACATTGAAACCAATCAGGGAGAGAGATAGATAGATGAAAGGATGGTGGATGAAAAGGTTTGAATGTGAATGAGGGATGACCTATTACCGGGGTAGTATGAAAGTATATCATTAAATTATTTTCTGATTTTCGATCACAAACAAGGCTGAAAAATTGTAATGCGGGCGGGCGACGGAAACTCATATATGAGTTATAAGGGCCTAAGGCTGAGCAAGATGCAAAAGGTTAAAAAATTGAAGACTTCGAATTACACAGAGCCCCAGAAGGAAAAATAGAATGATCTGAAGCAGGGGCAGCAAAGCGACTTCCAAAGTGGGGGGACACCATCAAAAAAGGGCACCTTATATTCTCAAAGCGAAAATACAATATTTTAGACATTGGTACATACCCCAACATTGTGACTACATTATGAGGAATGATTTTAATATTTTTTGCTCTTTGTACATCAGTTTTAATCAGTTATAGTAGGCGCACACAAGTAGTTAATTCCACTCAACTGAATTGTATTGTATTTATAGTAATATTTTAATTCATTGTATTGAACATGTTGAGTTATAACTGAGTTAAACAACACCACCTGTGCGCTTAGAAATGCCTGTATTAAGCGTCCTATAAATGTAATTATTATTATACAAGATATTTGCTTAAGCATCATACTTTGCAGTTGGGTTTGATGGTCTGAATATTAATTTTCAAGCGAGGAAAATTTTTAAGATTTTTGAGGTCACAGTGAAAAAAATAATTATAATACAAAGAGGTAAAAACCCAATTCTGATGTGGTTATAAGCACATTCTCATAACGGAAGACTGAAAAGACCTTAAGCGAGTAACAAAATTATATCATTTGTAAATACAAGCGAGCAAGCTTTGGGAGAAATTGCTCTTTGCCCGTCTGTTTTAGGGACACATTAAATGATGAGAGGAAAAGGGGACACTTATCGAAAGGGACAAGGCACTTACATGTATTAGAAAAGAAAAGGAGCACGTGTCGAAGTACAAAGGGTAATTATCAGAGGTGAAAATGGGGCACTTTTTCACCTGGAAAGAGGCACTAGTAGGAGACCAGCCTGTAGGTCCCGTGACCAATCTCGGGGAACAAAGGTTTGGAAGTGTTTTCGTGTTCCCTGATGAATACCAATTTTGACTTCGGCTGCCCCCTTGAAAATCCCAGGCATTTTCGTGAGGGGTCAACAAAGGTCATACAGGGTAGAAATTCAAATATATTCCAATCGTGTCGATATGCATATCAAATTACTTGTCTGGTCATGAGGATTAAAAAAATGTATAGTTTGCTATACTGTACCCTCGACCTTAAATGAGGGCGCTATGGTCAAAAACGTTGAAAGGTCAACACACTTTTGACTGGTGGTCAAATTCACCAACACAGTTCACCTTATCAAATTTCATAGCAAATCACTCGTCTGGTCATAAGGATTACAAAAATGTATAGTTTGTTATACATCCGACCTTAATGAGGGAGCTAGGGTAAAAAAGGTTAATGCACTTTAGACTTGTGGTCGAATTCACCAACACAGTTTACATTGTCTGATTCTAATGATTTTAGTGTCCAATAATATGTTTCTGACATAACAAATTCAACTAAGCAACTTTTAAAATCGAAAGTGGTTGCCATAACCTTGACATTTCCCTCAAACCCATGGATAAGAAGTTATTAAATGTTAGTCACCGAAACGGCAGCCATTTTGAATGTACATGGTCAAGGTAGTAACTTTTAATTTTGAGAGTTGTATAGTTGAATGTCAGAAACATACAATTAGACACTAAAATCATTAGAATCGGACAATGTTAACTGTGTTGGTGAATTTGACCACCAGTCCAAAGTGCATTGACCTTCTTGACCATAGCGCCCTCATTTAAGGTCGGAGGTATAACAAACTACACAATTATTGAATCCTCATGACCAGACGAGTAATTTGAAATGCATATCGACACAATTGGAATATATTTGAATTTCTACCCTTTATGACCTTTGATGACCCCTCACGAAAATGCCTGGGGTTTTCAAGGGGGCAGCCTAAGTCAAAATTGTTTGGTATTCATCAGGGAACACAAAAACACTTTCAAACCTTTGTTCCCAAGATTGATCACGGAACCTACAGACATTTGTCGATGGAAAAAAGTTACCCATATTGATATGGGCATTTATATAGAGGTGTAAAGGGGCATTTACAAACTAGATGGACCTTCGACTACGTGCAGTCGAAAATGATGCCTCTGCAATAGAGCAATTTTACAAACCAAAACATTAAAATTCAAGTTTGATTGTAATCCATGAACAGGTTCTCAGAATATCGTAATTAGTACAAGCTATTTTTCATATACATGTATGACCCTAAAATCTAATCAGTTTATTGGCTTTGCAAGATGCAAACATGTCCTGAGTTTGATAGTAATTCATCCATCAGTTCCTATGAGAATGCGTTCACAAGCTACTTTTGCATCCATAATGAGCCCCATGACCTTGGACCTCATGACCCCCAAATCTACTCAGTTCATTGGCTATGCAAGATACATACATGTTTACAGGCATGACAAATTTTCTTGATTGAGCTATCATGAAAGAGATATATAAACATGTTTATAGACTACCGTAATAGTCTTTGGATCATTTTGTCATGATCATGTGACATCAATGATAGGGTCAGCAGACTCTGACATGTCAAAAGGTTGCTGGTTGTAATTATGGTCTCCTGTAGCTCGGTGAACTGTGAGAGCAGTCTCCTCATCCATCTAGTATGAAAGAAAACAAAAGATATGAAATCAATGAAAGAATGTAGGCCAGTGAAACAGAGAGAGAGATAGGGCTATAAATCTATAGAGGCAGAATTAAAAGGACAAGATAAATGAAAAGGTTATCGGTTGTTCATAAACAGTATTGAGGACCTTCCACCTTCCTGATTTTGGCTGAAAATTCCTATTTTCTATTTTCATGTTCATCATTTTGAATTTGCCCTTATAATTCTGGTGAAATCGTGATTTTGATATGCCCATACGTTACAACTGCGATAGTGCTGCAAATCGAGAGCTATAGCCATGTGTATAGAATACACTCCACAATGATCACGTACCGCATGTAGTGATAGTGACTGTATCATACAAGGCATGCACTTGTCCTCATTTTGAACATTAATGTACAGAGAAATGAGAGAATATATATACATCTACTACATAGTGCCTACTGCCTTTGTATAATACATCTAATCAATGAACCCTCCTTCACATAATGCAGCAACCTAAAGAGAATATTATGGAGAGTAAAGTAAACTAGCTGTTTTTAGGTTTTCCTTGGAAACCCTGCTGAAATATAAATACCAGTGGCCTAGTGGCTAGTTCCTTCCCTAACAGCCTGTATCATGAATACAGCACATTCACTGCATACTCACAACATATGTAATGGATTGTTTTCTGCTCTTTAATTTCATTTTTGATTTAATTGCGGACTACAAGCAGCATTTTTGGAATGTCATGGAAATAAATGAAAATTTCCTTATCCAAGCAGAATTTGTGGCTTTCAATAAATGTGTGACTGCAAATTATTATGTTTGTGCATCCTCAGTTGACTGTAGAGTACTAGCCCTGTACATATATCTGAGTTTAAAATGGATGGGTTTCTGGTCCATAAAAACAAACAGAGGAGATATGCCTCTGCGCTGAATTCAGTATCGGAAATGGATGAAATTATTCTTGACATATCAGGATGAAACTTAAAGCCTATAATTTAATGATGACTATGATCTTGACCTACATGTACTAGCCCCAAAATGTAATTGGATCATCTTTCTTTAGTAATACTATCACATGTTTAAAAATTGTGATTTCATGGCTAAAAACCAGTTTAATTTCAGAAATTCGACCTTGGTTTCATTTGACCTACTGACCTTAGTCTTCCTATGTTGATATTAAAATATCAAACTGGTTGAAATTTTTCTGGTCACGTGAAGAGCTGTCAACCAATAAAAAACCAAGAAATCTTTGATGCAGGGTATAATAGAAATATTTTAACTATTTTTAGGTTACTTTGGAAAAGTATGTTTTGGGAGTACTATTTGGGAGTTTTAAAAAAGATCACAGATTTTGTTTTATTTCATTAACTTTTTATATATAATTTAATACATTTTTTTTTAATTTCTTTTTTTAAATTCTATAAAATTCTAATTATTTAAATTTTTTAATTTTCATATTTTGTTTTTAAAAATTCAAAATTTGAAAGGTCATACAAAGTTTTGGGAAATTTTGAAAATGACCGGATAGCGATTCTTTAAATCGTTGATATATTTGGATGCCCTAAGATCTTTCATGAGCACTAGAAAAATTAGCCCCTAAAACACTTCTGCTTTCGAGAAAAATTGCCGGTAAATTTTCAAATAGTTTATATGGCCATCCAATGGTAGCTGCGACCATGAAAAGCTCTGAATATGCAGTTGTGATATATAATTTCCAAATGGGAATAGCAAAATCAGTCGATTTTAGTCAAGAAACATAGTTTTAAAGCTAAATTAATATCTTGACCTTAAGAGGGAGCTATACAACATAAAGACTTTAATATTTACAATTTGCGATTTCAACCGCGACAACGATCACTGAATATTGTAGGATAGCATATGCTTCCAGTATGTTCATTTGAACCAAATTCATGACCCCAACCCTAAAAAACATAATGCCTCCGGCCCTACCTACAGGGGGCAGAGGCATGCCCAACCTGCTTGTAAATTCCAACAATTTCAACAGGCAGCAGACATGTGTAATAGCGATGTGGGTTGTATGTTGTCAATTATCTCAGTAACCACCAAGATCGCTGTGCAGGAAGCCACCACGAGACACTGATTCTGGCGCAAAGCTGTGATTTAGCATTCCTTTCAAATACTAGCACTAAAATTCATCAGAAATGATATCCTTTCATACAACTTGAACAGTATATGCTACATGCCAATTTCTATTTGGCTACCATTTCTGTACATTGAAAAGAGGACCAACAAATTAACATCCCACTTGCAAAGATTTATTTCACTTTACTATAGCCAGCTCTACTGTCCAAGATTAAAATTTTGGTTCAAAAAGTGAAACTTAGTAGCCCAGATTTCCTATACTGTGTATTAAACATGGCAACATCACTAAGGTATCAAGTGCATTAAGACAGCCTATAAAGAAACCTACAAAAGACTAAAATAATTAAATACTATTATGTGAAAAAGATTGCAACTGCTATCTACTATTGCTACCACATGTATCCACTATTTGAGAGTAATTGTATGCGATGTTACCTTCTCATCAGCAGAGAGGTTAGCACTGGTCCCCGACTGTACCATGCTTGAAGCATCCAACTCATAGGCTGGTTGGGTTTCTCCTTCTGGGAAGGCCATTGTATCAGCAACCCCACCAAGTGATGATTTTTCACTTCCTTCATCTTTTACTGGGGATTGCTGATCAACAGTTTCTACTATTGGTTGTGTATTCATAGCATCTTTCACATCCTCAGCTTTGGGAAATGTTGGAGATTCTACATGATTAGACTGTTGGGCTGCAGGCTTGTCACAGTTGGGTTTTTGCTGAGGCTCTAACACAGGAGGCAGCACATCTGAATCTGTCTCAACATCTACATGAACATCTGTTTGTGCATCAGGCTTGGCATTAGAATGTTCTTCACTGGGGTTGCCATGGATTTCCCCAGGGGTGTTTGTATCATCATCTAATTCATCTTCAATGTTCTTCCCTCGCTTGGCTGGTGAGGCACTGGTATCCATGGAAGCTTCCCTCTGAGAGACCACATCAACATCAGGTGGAGCGAAAGAACCCATATACTGCGAGGCATCATAGACATGCTGCTGAAGCTGTTGCTCCAGGAAGTGTGGCTGAAACTGCAGGAGCTGGTCTATTTGTGAGTCCAACTGGGATGGGAGGATGGGTGCTGGTGGGAGCATTGCTTCTGGGATGGGTATGATGGTTGGTGGGGGAGAGGGTTTGGGCTGGGGAGGAGGTGGAGGAGGTTCAGGTTCATAGGGTTTAAAAGGTTTGTGTTGTGGTAAACCCATATGCAACAGACAGCTTTCATCTTGTGACATGGGGGACGCAGGCTTGTCACAAACTTTACCTCCTTTTGAGCACTCAGAGTACAGGACTTGTTTGGGGTCCATGAGAATATCTGACATACCACATGAATAAGAAAATCAATCATGAAGAGAAAATATCAAAAGTTAAATGCAAAGCAATTCTGAGCTACAATTTATAACAAAGGTATATCTTGTTACAAGAATATCCCTAAAATGCAATTTACTAGCATACTGCAAAAAAATATCAAAGAGACTGAAAAAGAAAATATCTTGGCCATTTGAAATAATGCACCAGAAATAAACCTTGTGGAAGAACTCCTTGGATTTTAGCTCCTAATACTATTACATTTCATTATGACAACATTCATATTTTGACAGTCAATTCTAATATAAACCACAAAGGTATCTGTCAGAATGTGTAGTGCAAAAGGATACGATCCTTGCAGAACTTTGCCAGAGGCAAGCTGAACTTGCTGCACTGCTCTCCCTCACATGACTTGTGACAACACTGGAGCATGAGAGGTACATTCCGTCTGCCTTGGTAGTCTGCTGTGGCCTGGATACGCCTCTGCTTGGACTTCTGGTATAGCAAAGCTTCTTTACCTCTCCTTCTTCGGAACCCTCTTGCTGCCTGGTACTCGCGGAACTTTCGCTTTTGCTTGGGGTCTGTTATCACTCCAAAGTCAATCCCTACGACATACAATAACAGACAAAACTTATGACAAAATTCTAACTCCTTTTGTGCACTCAGCATTCAGGACTTTTTTAGGGTCCAGGAGAATATATATATATTTATGTATATAAAAAAAACAAAAAAACAAGGATGAATGTGACTGCATCTCCAAAGCTTTCGCCTAAATTCAATTTCATCAAATTTCACTGATCTACAGTATTAGAAATAAGAAAGGATAGATCTTGTATAATTTTTCCTGTGATCCTGCAATCACTAATAGTGTACCGTAATTAACGGTGTATAACCGCACCTTTTTGCCCCCCAAAAAAATTCAAAGTCGAGGGTGCAGCTTATACACGGTACACAAAAAAAAAAAAAAATTAAAGTTTCGATTTATGCCCCTCCACCTGGCGCTATGCCTGGCAATGTCTACCAGCTCGGTAATCGGTGTGTTGACTCACCACTCGGAAACTAGAACAACACTCAAATTTCTCTGTCATCTTGGTTTGAAAGTAATCTTTCTGATAGATCTCAATATGTAGTTTATAATATTAATTCCTCCAATTTTTCTTCTATTACATGGTGTACCACAAGGTTCTATCCTAGGTCCCCTACTGTTTTTTAATTTACATTAATGATCTTACACTTTTTTTTAAGGGGGAAAAAGAGGGGTGCTGTCAATACACGAGGGCGGTTTATACAACGTTAATTACGGTACTCAAATATTACCAAGACACCTCTTACATTTACAATAATTATTCATCTCATGACCTGTTTCCAGACTCAGCTTACTTTACCTCCCTCTGATTCTCCACACTTTACATCCTGTGATAAAACGATTTACAGGACTAAGAATATACAGTACACATCTAGAACCACGAACCTCTAGCATATATCGACCTCTGTGATATTTTACCCGGGGGGGGGGGCCGAAACGGCCGCGGCCTCCCCTATTGGCGGCGCAAAAAAAAGAGGAAAAAAAAGAAAGGAGAAGAGAAGAAAAAAAGGAGAAGAGAAAAGAAAGGAGAAGAGAAAAGAAAGGAGAAGAGAAAAGAAAAGAGAAGAGAAAAGAAAGAAGAGAGAGAGAGAGAGAAAGAAAAAAAGAAGAAGATCCCCCCCCCCCCATTGATTTTGTGTTCCCAAAATTTCCGATAAAGGGTTACTTTTCACGCAACAAAGTCCGGCCCGTAATACAAATCAGGCCTGCACTGACTCTACACACCGAAGATAAAGGGGTGCTTTCAAACTAAGAGAGGGAACATACATGCGCATACCCTAGATAACACTGAGTGGGTGGGGGGGGGGATGGGAAGGGGAAGAGAAAAGTTGGGTGAGAAAGGGGGAAAGACAAGGAAATGGCGCTAAGTGACAGTAACGACGAATAAGGGAAAAACTGTAATCGGGAGATTTGGGGTCATTCCAGAAGGCTTGGGAAACGTTATTGAATAGAGGGGGCCGGGCCGGCCGCATAAAATCTCGAGCGACGGATTCAAAGTTAAAAGTTACAAACAGCCCCTGCTTTTTGAAAAAAATTGAAAAGGGCACAATGTTTTGGATGTCCTTCAAATAGAAGCTATATACTAAACAGTCAAATTTTAAATTAACGGTAGGGCCGCTTCACAACTCTTATTTTGCCCTTCATTTGGATTCAGCTCATACCAACTCGCTTGTGCTTATATTTGAACTCATGTAGGTAGTGATAATGGACAGCGGCGGCGATCCTGGGCCCGATAGAGAGACACGTCCCCCCGGAAATTTAGATATATAGCTAGAAAGAAATATAGCGGAAAGAACGTACATATTGGACTAAAGGATTTTCTAGAATGCATAATTTCAGCATTCTACATTGCAAAATCTCGCTTGGTCGCTCCGCTCCGGCCCTCGCCCGATAACACAAAACTAAGATATGACGCTCCCGGTCGCGATTATTTCATGGTTGGTGTATACATAGATCTTTTTTCCCCTTTCATTTCTACTGACCTAATTGTATGCTATCACAATCATGATTGTTTCATTTCCCTTTAAAGCATGCGTAGCTAGGGGCGGTAGGGGCAGTAAGAGGACATAGGACGAAAAAAGGAGCAGACAAAGAAACATTTTTGACAAGTCTAAAACGGGACAACAAATCATCTTCTTTCTCTAATAATTTAATGAAACGTTAAGCTTCTGCGCTTTGCGCTGGAGAGGAAAACTGAATTCAGAGAAGGATTAAGAGTCGGGAATGGAACAACGAATTATCTTCTTTCTCTAATAATTTCATTAAACTATGAAAGGTCAGAGCTTCCGCGCCTCACGCGGAAGGTGGAAAATGAATTCAAACAAGGATTAAGAATCGAGAATGAGACAACGAATCATCTTCTTTCTCTCATAGTTTAATGAAGCGTCAGAAGCTTACGCGCTACGTGCGGGAGGAGGAAAACTGAATTCAGACAAGGATTTAGAGTCGAGAATGAAACAACGAATTATCTTCTTTCTCTAATAATTTCATTAAACTATGAAAGGCTTTGCGCGGGGGGGGGAAACTGATTTCAGACAATGATTAACAACCGAGAACGGTACGACGAATCGTCTTCTTTCTCTAATAATTTAATGAAACATCAAAGCTTCCACGCTTTGCGCGGGAGAGGGAAGGGGGACTCAATTCAGACGAGGATTAAGAGTCGAGAACGGTACTCTTTCTCTAATGATTTAATGAAACGTCAAAGCTTCCGCGCTTCGTGCGAGAGAGGGGGGGGAACTCAATTCAGACAAGGATTAAGAGTCGAGAACGGTACTCTTTCTCTAATGATTTAATGAAACGTCAAAGCTTCCGCGCTTCGCGCGGGAGAGGGAAGGGGGGGACTCAATTCAGACAAGGATTAAGAGTCGAGAACGGTACTCTTTCTCTAATGATTTAATGAAACGTCAAAGCTTCCGCGCTTTGCGCGAGAGAGGGGGGGGGGAACTCAATTCAGACAAGGATTAAGAGTCGAGAACGGTACTCTTTCTCTAATGATTTAATGAAACGTCAAAGCTTCCGCGCTTTGCGCGAGAGAGGGGGGGGGAACTCAATTCAGACAAGGATTAAGAGTCGAGAACGGTACTCTTTCTCTAATGATTTAATGAAACGTCAAAGCTTTCGCGCGGGAGAGGGAAGGGGGGGACTCAATTCAGACAAGGATTAAGAGTCAAGAACGGTACTCTTTCTCTAATGATTTAATGAAACGTCAAAGCTTCCGCGCTTCGCGCGGGAGAGGGAAGGGGGGGACTCAATTCAGACAAGGATTAAGAGTCAAGAACGGTACTCTTTCTCTAATGATTTAATGAAACGTCAAAGCTTCCGCGCTTCGCGCGGGAGGGGGTATGGAAACAGAATTCATATAATCATTTACAACAGAGAACGGTACAACGAATCCTCTTCTTTCTCTAATAATTTCATGAACGTTAAAGCTTCTGCGCTTCGCGCGTAATGGGGGGGGGGGAGGGGACAGCTAGCTGCCCGAATATGAATTTGTTGTATCTTTTCTCGTATATTTTGGTAATAAATAACACTTTCACAAAATACATATTATCCTCAAATTTTTGCTCGCTCGCTTCGCTCACTAGCCGAATTGTGAAACCAGAAAATTACTTTTTCGGGCAAGAGGCTTCAGCCCCCCCCCCCCCCCCCCCGATGAAAATGTCAAAAAAAAATTACCGGTATGGTGCTTCTAATATGACCTTGTCAGTATTGGTATGTTAAGTTGAAAAACTGTCTGCGCAATTTTCAAATTTCCGGCCCCCCTATTGGAAAATCCTGGATCCGCGCCTGTTTTACCTAAATTGTCCACAATGTGATCATTTTGTCTCCCTATAATGATATATACTAAAACCATGTTTGAAGTTTACAGCTCAAGGGAATCCATCAATCGGTTCTTGGGATAATGCGATCACAAGCTATTTTTGCATATATAATGAGCCCTGTGACCTTTGACCTCGTGACCCTTAAAATCTAATCAGCTCATTGGCTCTGCAAGATACATTCATAGTATAAGTTTGGCAGGAATTCATCTATCGGTTTTTGAGATAACGCGATCACGAGAACGGGGCGTACGAACGGATGGACGGACGGACAACCCAAAAACATAATGCCTCCGGCTACTTCGTAACGGAGGCATAAAACCCTGAAAAGTTTAATAACAAACATACCGAATGCTTCCCTCTCTTGTCTGAGAGCTACCAGGTAACTTCGCCTCTTCTCTTTCATGACATGCTGTAATTTCTTGAACTGATTGATGTATAATGACTGCAGACGGATCAACTTATCCCTTGTAATGAGAGCAGCTTCCTCTGCAGTATACACTCCGGCATACCTATATAAAACAACAAATACAAGAGCATTAATAATAACAATACATGAGATTTTATATAGCACCATTATCCATTTTAATTAAATGCTCAAGGCGCTTCAAAATATTAGGGAACAAATTACATCATGCGAAGAATCGTGTACATGTACACGAGATAGAAATGCAAAAATGAAAGAATGAATGTCTGTCATTAGTGGTATATTCAATAACTCTAATGTGCACATAAATTCATGCACATAAATTCATACACATAAGTCACAAATAAGAAGAGATAGAGATTGTTATCAAACCTGTATAGAAAAACTGCTTAAGGGAGACATAAAAGATGCTCTTCAAAGGCAGGTGGTCTTTACAAGTTTCAGTGTGAAACACTATTTCCAAGGAAACAACACTAACAACAAGTCAACGCAAAGGGTAGCATCCCCTCGCAGGGTACAAATGGCCTATATGCGTCAGAACAAGTTTCCTCCATTGGACTATACCAGAGCTGCCAAGTTGTATTTTCAGTATTCTTATCCCTCCAAATCAGTATTTTGACAAAAACTCCGTATTTTTTTCTGCGTAAAAAAAATATGCATGCATATCGGCAATGTTCAATCACTTATTACATTTCCGTCTCACACGTAAACAATCGTGTTTTACACTAAGCACTGCACAATGGACATAACATTAATTTGCCCTTTCAAAAAATAAACCCCTTAGAAGTACACATACATGAAGCTTATCAAATGAAGATTCATTACCGTCATTACCGTCATTGACAGGACAATTCCTTCAGTCTTTTCTGCAAATGTCCTTCATTTCAGTTCTAACTCTTAAGTGTCCCTAATGTACATGTTGCTTCCAAAGCAATGACGTCATTAGCACTAGACTCGTAGTCACATCCCATGCACAATTAGTACACACACACACACATGTACGCATATTGGCAAGTTGCAGCACCAATTCCACTTCAGGGTCAGGCCCACTATTTCGGCGCAATTGATCAAATAACGTGTCTCTTGTGTTTTTACATTCTTTCAGGGCCGACTAGATATTGCTAAGTCGAGTTTGTCATATTTATTTATTCTGTGACACTTCCTGGTTAAAAGCGACTTTAATTTTATGATAATGGAAATCCTGTAGACAAGATATCGCCGAATGAATAAGACGGAAGAGTAAAAAAAAGCCTGTCGCCCAGATATATTTCACACTTTAAATTGATCTTGTGTCAAAACAAAAAGATGCAAGTATCTCTTAAGCGCATTTCTTATGAGGGAATGAAGCATCGAACAATATGTGAGCACTTTTTAAGGGATATCTTCCCGATTCACAGAGTCATCACCGATAGAAATGTGTCTCCAAAACTATGAAACATACGTTACCGTTTTTTCAATAGTGCTTAGTATACTTTCCATTTATGTTGAATTTGCAATTAACATACTTTTAGACTTCTATGAACATAAATAATGCTGCACCAAAAAATTAATGCATCCATAGAAATACAATTTCCTTAACACAAAATCACATTTTTTCAAGAGAAAAGTACTTTTAAGGAGTGTAACATACGTTACTATAATTTCGGAGATACGTAGGCTTAACAGTGTAAAGCCAACTTTTTCATGTTAGCGCTCTTCAGGTAAAGATGAGTGGTTAAGGGTTCCGATAAATTCAAGCAAAAAAATTGCTTCTATGAGACTGAAAATCATTCTGGGTGTAACATACGTGATGCAACATACGTTACCGTCCTTGTAGGTCAATCATATTTTGGTCATATACAATGTCTATGTTCATCAGAAAAGCGTGAATGATATTACTGGCCATCTACGGCAACGAAGAGACATCCTAGCAACGTAATAGAGTCAATTAGTAGACAAGTATATAAACAAATCCAGTTCAAAGACATATAGAGGTGAGTGTATTTCCAACTTTTTTCACATGTGTTCAATTGTTGCGTGTTTTCACTATATGAAATGTTTCTGTCTTTTTAGCCACGCACAAATCTGTGGTCAAACTTATATGACTTAAATTAGTTTTACAAATCAGTTAATTTGAATGTATATGCTTAGAATAATCCAGCATGTTATGGTAACGTAAGTTTCAAATAATGGTAACGTAAGTTTCAGGATATGAGTGACAAGTATATAAGACAGTTTGTAGCATTATTTTGGTATCCAATCTAATTTTATTGATATCATGAAGTGTGGAAGAATTTTTCTTTCGAATAACATGCATATCTTAGCTATTGAGGAGATAAATAATGGTTTAATTTACCATGGATTAATGCCAGTTTTAGAAACTTCATTAACAAAATAGTCAGAAAAATAAAGGTCCAAGGATTGCCAAATAAAGCCTGCAATTTCATATGAATGGGACATTTTTATTGAAGTTATCTGTCAATTATAAGGTATCTGGGGTTCATAACATCTTTTGTTGATTTCTTTGATGAATTAATTATTAAATATTGTGTACCAATTTAAGTAGTAATGTGGTAACGTAAGTTTCAAGAAATGGTAACGTAAGTTTCAAGTTTGAACTGGCAATTATCAGAACATATGTGAACAATTCTTGGTGTGTCAAATCTTTCATCTTTTATATTATTAGGCCATACAAATTTGTTCTCAAGAATAAGGTATATTTTAAAGAGATAACGTGATTTAATTGTGTGATTCTTATTTCAATAAATCACTGTCTTATTTTATTATTAATATTTCTCCAACGAAATCACTTAGAGACGAAGGTACATGTACGTTGGTATTCAAATAAGTTAGGCACAATATTGAAATTATGTATTCCAAAATTAAAGTAACTTTTCATAATTTGCTGTTTATTTATTCTAAGGTAGGCTACTGCACACAGCTCAGTATTTCCAGCAATATTACAGTTACGTTATAAGGTAACATATTGAATTATTTGAAATCAATACATGTATTTATTTTTTTCCTTTGGTCATATTTTAACAGAAATGGGGAAAACACGAGCCGAAATTCAGGCCGCGTACAGGCAACGCAAATGCGAGAAGATGGGAGAAGCAGCTTTCCTTCATGCAGAGAGGGTGAGGGTGAATAAGTACTATACACCAACTGAACATTTGGGAAAGAAAAAAGCACAGGAAAGAAGGGGTCAAGTCAATGTGAGAGTAAGGAGACACAGAGAAAGAGTTAGACGGGTACGACAGGACATAATGAATGAACGCCAGGAAGAAGATGTGAACATGGACCAGGAGAGTGATACAACACAAGATTCGGCATTGTCGGATATTTCTTACGTATCTGAAGCACGGGCTCCATTGAAGGTTAAGCTCCCATTCGTATTCAAAAGAAAGAGAAAGCGAGTGAGTCGATGTTTAAGCAATGCCCATAGAAACATTGAGGCTCTTACACTGAAGCTACAGGAAGCATAGAAGGACAAGAAGAAGATCCAGAAGAGATATGAAAGGCTGCGCAAGAAGTTGCCTATGTCCTCGACACCAAGCACGGCCGAACGAAACACACCACGTTCTAAAACTAATAGCCAGCTAAGGAATGCGGGCCTAGATCCAACGTCTGTTCCACCAGGGATAAAAAAGAAGATTCTTTTTTCAAACGCCATAATTGAAGAGGTACAGAATGCTTCACATGCGTTGAAAAGGAGGTCTGACCGATCGACACTTCACAAGCTGGTAGCCGGGTCAAAAGTTCTGAAGAAATACCGCTTACTCAGAATGCTTCAAGTAGGTACTGGTCTTGGAAGACTCAACTTGACAAGAGCAAACAGACAATCATCCTACCGACGTAAAGAACTGCAGCCTTCGTGGAATTCTCTCCACAACGAAGTAGTAGCGTTTCTTCAAAGAGATGACAACTCTCGTATGTGCCCAGGTAAAAATGACCACTGTAAAGCGGATGACTCAGGGACTACGCGTCAGAAAAAGTTCTTATGTGACTACTTGCATAACCTTCATGCCAAGTATGTGGCTGAGAATCCGGAAAAGCGCAGAGTGTCACTGTCATCATTCAAGCGTCTACGACAAAACCAATGTCCACACATCAAGCCGGTGCAATTCACATCGCGGAACCTGTGTCTTTGCCAAAAACATCAGAACATCACTCTGAAGCTGAAAGTGATGAAATCATTAGGCCTTGCTGTCAATGAAAACCCAGATGAATTCATCAAAAGTCACAATGAAGCTGAGATAGATGATCTCCTTGACGGGTTACAGGCCGAGCAAGTCCAGTTTGAAGAGTGGTCAAGAGTGAAAGTTGATAACAGACAAAAGACTAAAATCATCAGGGTATCAAAGAAAAGGGAGGAGTTCATCACTTGTTTCAAGCAGAGGATTGGTGAATTTAGACAGCATGTTGCATGAGTAAAACAACAGTTCCAGGCACTAAGTGAGTGCAAGAAAACACTTCCTGCTGGTGAATGCATCGTACAAATGGACTTTGCAGAGAACTATGTTTGTGTGCCATTGGAGGAGGTGATGGAGTTACTCTGCACCCAATTGTTGTATATTATCGAGACAACAACAATGAGCTTGCCCACCAAAGCATGGTAGTTGTACCGGACGAAAAGGGACACAACTCGACGACTGTAGTCGCAATTCTACGCAAGGTGATTCCTAGATTGCAAGAGCTGGTGCCTCAATTGTCACGTGTGCACTACTGGACCGACAGCCCTACATCCCAATATCGGAACAAAACAATGTTTTCCGTTGTAGGGGAACACGCAGAAATCTTTGAAGGAATCCATGCCCAATGGAACTATTTTGAGGCGGGGCACGGCACAAAGGGCCCTGCGACGGAATTGGTGGGACTGTCAAGCGTATGGCTGACAACGCAGTCAAAATGAAGATCGTCATCCAGGATGCGCATGACTTTTTCGCATGGGCTACCCAGGAACAGGGGAGCAGTAAAACAAAGATAGAGTATATCTTTCTGACCAAGGAAGAGTGTGTCGCGGGCGGTCTCCTCATTGCCGAGAAGTGGTCAACGGTGAAGACTTTTCTAGGAACTCTGCAAGTACATGCTGTCATTGGTCAAGATAAAGGTGTTCTCGTACGAAACGTATCCTGTTACTGCACTAACTGCCGTGAAGTAAACCCTGGTGAAACCATACAAACCGAACAGATGTGTGATGGATGGCAACTTCGCCGTTTTGTGAGTGTGATGAGTGGAGCTACAAAGAAATCTGACGCACCCGAGAAGGATAATGTTGGAGTGCAATTAGCTAATGCAGAGGAGCCATTGAACGTGCCATCTACGAGCACTCCAGTTCTACCTAATTATGATACAGATGACTGGGTTGCCGCCGTGTACGACCAAAAGTGGTACTTGGGTACAGTGTTGGAATCCGACAAAAAAGAAGTTCATGTTAACTTCCTCACTGAATGTAAAGGCCCTCGACTTGAGAACACATACAAGTGGCCAATACGGAGAGACCTGATCTGGATAGCGAAGGGGAAAGTTCTCTGTGCCATAGACCCTCCTGAACGCGATTCGATTCGGATGTATGTACTCTCTGATCAGCAAAGGGCCATGATCGAAGAGAAATGTCTATTTCTCAGACATAAAACAGCTGCAGACTGACATTTGCACAGTTCAATATGCTCCTTACACCCCTCTGATATATCTTGCCCCGGCCCTTTTAACTTTTAGATGGTACATGAATGTAAGGATTATTTACAATATGCGCACTAACAAGGAAGACTGTTTACGAGGAAAGTGTTTTCATTGTAAATTAAAATGACTTTTCTTGATATTTGCAAATGAATATTTCGAACAACAGATAGACACTGACTCAAACTTAAGGGGAAATTCGATAAGAACAACCCCTTTCTTGCGTTTGATAGCAAAAATGACCAATCTATGCATTGTTTTAATCTATACGAGTCAATGGTTTCATCATTCTGACCTAATTGTAACATTTAATGCATTGGGTAACATACGTTACTCTTCAGTGTAACATACGTTACTCTTCAGTGTAACATACGTTACCAATGTTTATTCAGCTGGTAATCGTATTTTATTTTCCAGTATCACTTTTCCATATGAAAATGATATAAAGTGACCTTCATATATTTCATTAATGTTTGAAGAAAATTTGTGTCATCGAAATGTGATTGATTAAAAAAATATGATTATACTTAGGTATTGATTCAGCATTCAGAAGAAGTAAGTTAGTATTTTGTGGGAAAATACCGTGAACCCCATTAGATTTTCTGATCAAACTATTTTGGTCTCTTTACTAGACTACTTAACTGTATTCATGAGCAAACAGTGACCGAAAAGTATAAATAAGTATATGTATTTTCTTTCCAAGTGTCTAACATGATAGTAACGTATCTTACACAACGTATTTTGCACCTGTAATTTCAAAAATATGTCATGTTCTTTCCGAGCAATGTTGAACGCTCATCTCTTGGAGTTTGTAAATTTGTTACTCAACATTTCATATTACAATAAAAAGAAATTTGTTACTGAAACTTTATTTTTCTGAAATTTATTTATTTCAAATGTGCCGATTTAGTGGTTTTGACCCTTCAGTCCCACACGCAGACAATCGATGCTCGAAGCACCGCACACATGCACAGTAAACATACAAACGTATATCCGAAGTCGACACACGTCTTTCAGCACACGGAGTGCGCACCAGCCATGCCCATAGACTAATACACAATTGAAACGGCGCGAGCACCGCCCATAGACTTATACACAACTGATTTTTTCTTCTTCCGTATTTTAACATGAAAATATGTACGTCCGTATTTTAAGTTGATTTCCGTTAGTGCTGTAACATCACGTATATCTCCAATTCCATTTAACCGCCAGTCAAAACCGGACGGTTTTCGGTTAAACGATTAAAAAAAAAAAAAAAATTTAAATAATTTTTTTTTTTTTTTTTTTTTTTTCTGGCCGTGTGAAAAAGAGGGAAGGACTGCGAGGGGATTTAACTGAAGGCGCTGATTTTTGCTTGTGAACTAGTCACAAATAATAGTAACAATGTCGTTTTTATAAGAATGTGTAAGATCATTAATGTAAATTAAAAACAGTAGAGGACCTAGGATAGAACCTTGTGGTACACCATGTGTTAAAATTGGATGAATATATATTGAGATCTATTACAAAGATTACTTTCAAACCAAGACAAGATGACAGACAAATTGGAGTGTTGTTCTAGTTTCCAAGTGGTAAGTCATCACACCGATAACTGACCTGGGAGACATTGCCAGGCATAGTGCCAGGTGGAGGGGCATAAATCAAAACTTTAAAAAAAAACTTTTAAAAAAAAATATTAAATTTTTTTTTTTTTTTAATTATTAAAAAAAAAAAAACAGGAAAACGAAACCGTCCAATTAAAAACGGAATCCGCCATGGGCGGTCGGATACCGGACGGTTAAACGTTTGACTACAGCACTAATTTCCGTATGGAATACGGCAAATCCGTACTACTTGGCAGCTCTGCTATACTATTATATTACTAGGCAAGGAAGTTAACCACATTTTCACATATATAATTAGGTGTTTTTGCATATTTAATAAGCTATGACCTTTCACCTTTGACCTACATACTCAGAAATCGAACTTAGGCTGTACATGTATTTTGATACCATGTATCTTCATATCAAATTTCATTAAAATTCGTCGAACATTACTCCAGTTATCGAATGGAAACCAGATTCGCATATTTAATGAGCTACTCCGAAATCAAACTTAGGCTGTGTTTTGATACCATGAACCTTCATATCAAATTTCATTAAAATCTGTCAAACAATACTAAAGTTATGGATCGGAAACCAGATGTATATTTTTTTGCATATTTAATGAGCTATGACCTTTGACTTGACCTACGTACTCCAAAATTGAACCTGTATTTTGATATCATCTAGCTTCATATCAAATTTCATTAAATTATCGATGGGAAACCAAATTTGATACGGACGCACGGCATGGAAGCACGAAAGGACGGACGGCAGCGTTACTGCTGTATATGAGGCCACCCTGTTTGATAAGAATAAAACAAATAACAGCAGCAAAAATGAAATAAATTAATACACAAGCGTATAAACAGGTATAATACAAATTAATTGGTATCCTCATGAAATAACTGATCATTTACAAGAAATATGTGAATGGAATTTTCAATTGAAATAGAAAATACATTAAAAAATGAAAATGAAATAAAGAATAGATGATAGCCACGTATTTATAAGAAAGAAAAAAAATGATTGAAAACGTACATTTTTAAAACAAACTGATTGTACTTGTGCACATTATGCATGCGCAGTTCGCACACATTCACAATACACAGAACTAGCTCAGCTCCTGCCGCGCACGCGCCCCTAGTATGACACACTACCAGATGTCTTTGCTGAACTGCTAGCGACAAAACCTGTACGTAATATCCTCATGAAATAACTGATCATTTACAAGAAATATGTGAATGGAATTTTCAATTTAAATATAAAATACATTAACAGATGAAAATGAAATAAAGAATAGATGATTGCCACGTATTTAAAAGAAAGAAAAAAAATGATTGAAAACGTACATTTTTAAAACAAACTGATTGTACTTGTACACATTATGCATGCAGTTTGCACACATTCACAATACACAGAACTAGCTCAGCTCCAGCCGGTCACGCGCCCCTAGTATGACACGTACTACCAGATGTCTTTGCTGAACTGCTAGCGACAAAACCTGTACGTAATATGTTTATTTAGTCTTTTTTCTGACCCGAATTTTTATCATGGACAATGCAATCCTACTAAAAAAAGTGATTCTGTTTAAAATTGTGTTATTTATAACTTAAAACCATTAAAATTTAAATGCGAGTGAATATTTTTAGTTACTGTTGACCCACATATCGATATATTTCTTATGACAGTTTCCGTTGTCAGTTTGTTTGGTTAAATGAAGGTCCTTCCCTACATAGGTTTTTTACGAGGACCTGGCTTGCTGCTTGTCAGCAAAAAACAAAAAACAAACAAAACAACACGTTTATTACTGAGCAGCGCCATCTCTTGCCGTAAATATGTTTTATCGTAGTGAGTGCTATGGAGTATGGTGGCCATCTAACACTCGCTGAGAAAGACTGAAAAGTATCAAGTACCGTATTTGCCAGCGTAAAGGCCGCAGTATTTTTGGAAGAGAAAATATCAAAAACTCCGGGTGCGGCCAATACACAAGAAAGAGGCGCGATGTATACATCATAGAAAACTGCAAGGGACAGCATCAATACGGGATGGCCGAGCGGTCCAAGGCGGTGATTTTAGTCACATCAACATTTGAAGGCAAGAGTTCAAATCCCGCCTTCGACAATTTTTTATTTTATTTTATTTTTTTTTTTTTTAATGTCAAAATCGGGTGTGCGGCCTATGCGGCGCTGCGGCCTTATCGCCAGCACATACGGTATTCTTTTTATAGAAGCCAATTTTTCATGGAAAACTGATGTGTTGTGATGTCTTGAAAATCAATATTTAGCAACTGTGTGTGTAAAGTCACCAAAGAAGGCCAAGTATTAAAAAAAAATAAAAAATTACTTTTACATTATTTTTTCTTGGCAGTGTCTAAAAAATAGGGGTGCGTCTTGTACGCAGGTGCGTCTAACACACTGAGATTTATAAGATACAGAAATGTAAAGTGTATTACACTTATGTCATCATAACAAACAAAAAGACAGCGGTATAACGCATCATATCGGAAAGAGGCCAAGGAGGGACTTACTTGAGAGCATCTTCCTGTTCACTGTCTACACTTTCTGCATCACTGTCTGTAGTTCCTCTCCATCCTTGCTCCAACATCAAAGGATCACCTTCACTTTCACTCTCACTCCCATAATCTGACAACATAAGTGGTTCAAAAATAAGATAAATAATACATCAATAATTAATGAATCATAAAAAATATAAAATATTGGATTTTAGATCTTTAATAATGCTCATCCACCACGCAAGTTGTTCGTGGTGCTCCAATATTACCCCAGCTCTAGCTAGATTACCAATTACTCACAGCATTCAAGGAATTCATCCCTACCAGTACCCACTGACACCCCAGTGGAAAGTAAAAGACATAAATGTACTGTGCAGCGCTCATGCTCTTGACCTTAGAATGCAGTGAGTGCTATGCAGTATGGTGACCATCCAACACTCGCTAAGAAAGACTGAAAACTGTTAAAAGTATATATATTGTTATCTGAGTTTGCTTGATTTTTCCAGGGTATCCAATAATTTTTTGCTACACTGTACTTTACTGGGTCAAAAAATTCAATAGTCATCCAAGAAATGCAGCAGAGGTTATGATATTCGAGGAGTTACCGGGTACATTTTCATAGTAATGAGCCTGCTGCTAATCGCTATGCTCTAATCCACTGCTATACTGCTTTTTACCGCAGAGGGCAGTTGAGTGGATTCTCTTGCATAATGACAAACAGCCACAGTACATGTGCAAGTACCTTGTAACAGTCCCATTTCGATAATAACATACACCCTGTACCTAGCAACATCCTCAAATATCACTATTTCTGTAGCATTACTTAGACAAATATGGAATACTTTGTCCAATTTTGAGTAATTTTCAGTTGTTGTCTTTACCAATGTTTTGAAGAATAACATGGTACGATTTATATTTGTTTGGGTTTTTGTTTCGGCATGTATAACAGCTAACGCCATGTACTGTGCATGAACTTCCATGAATACAATAGTCCGAACTATAAAGCAACAGCGATGAGTATCGAAACTTAAAATGATTACAAAGTAAATATCAGATTATAATAGAAGCATGAGGCATTTCAAATTTGAGGAAAATATCTTTTATTTGTCTTTCAAAATTATGAAGAAATTTTAGAAAGCCAATTTAGTTTTCCAACATCATCCTTGTTATATAGCCTGATTCTTTCATTCTATATGAAGCAAAATGACAGCTTGCATGTTCTCTTTCTTTTTCTATTTTTATCCCAGTTTTTTACTTTCAGAGGCAGAGCAGTCGGTAATCATGCTGCTATGCACTGTGATCTTAATATCTACAAACCTGCAGCTGGTCGTAGAGAAATTCAGAAACTCAAGGCAATAGACCATGATGCCTTTGCTAAAGACTTGGAGGCATCGGACCTGATTCAGAAACCTGAGACTGATACTGATATTGATAAGATTGCGTTACAGTACAAGGGAACCTTATCAACTATGCTTGATAAGCATGCACCCGTCAAGCGATGTACTATTACCGCACGACAGCCAAATCCATGGTACTCAGTAGACATCAAAGAGGCAAAGAAGCTTGTGAGGAAATTAGAAAGGAAGTGGCGAAAGAAAAGACTTGAAATTGATAGACAGTGTTTCAGAACTCGGCGCCAAGTTGTCTGGGATATGATAAAGCTGGCGAAAGCATCATACTTTAAGAAGCAGATCTCCAACTGTGTCAGTCAAAGAGATGTCTACAAAGTAATAGACAAGATGCTTCACTATCGCTCTAATTCTATCCTTCCTACACATCGCAGCGATCAAGAGCTTGCAGAAAAGTTTAGCTTGTACTTTTCCACAAAGATAAAAGACATCCGTGCAGGACTTGATGCTAAGGTGGTAAATGGTACAAACTTGATAGTTGGCAATGCTGCTGGGAAAGACCACGTGCTTGACAGTTTTGACCTGGCATCCAAGGAGGAAGTGAGGAGGATTATAACTGGTTCTCCGTCCACTTCGGACTCACAGGATTCAGTTCCTACATGGGTTATGAAAAGACACTTGCGTCTTCTTCTGCCAAGCATAACATTTATAATGAACATGTCACTTGAAACAGGCGTCTTTCCAAGGTCATTCAAGGAAGCTGTGCTCCGACCTCTGCTAAAGAAGCCAAGACTAGACTCTGACACCTTAAGGAACTACAGACCATTGTTTAACCTTAAGTTTATCTCAAAGGTCCTAGAAAGAGTTGTGGCCCAGCGTCTTCAGGAATATCTGGAACTGAATGATCTAAGCGAACCACTTCAATCAGCTTACAAGAAGCATCATATCACTGAGTCTGCCCTTATCAAAGTTCATAATGATATTCATCAAGCACTTGATAAAAAAACAGGCCGTTTTCTTAGTGTTACTAGATCTGTCGGCAGCTTTCGACACCATTGACAAGGACATACTCATCAGGTGGTTTTGTTCAAAGGGTGTAAAAGGATCTGCTCTTGCATGGATATCTTCTTATCTGAGCGACTGTTTACAGGCAGTCAGGATCAATGAATGCACGTCCACTATATCTGAACTTCCGTATGGTGTCCCTCAGGGGTCTGTGTTGGGCCAGTCATTCTTCAGCATTTATGCCAGCCCTCTTGCGGATATTGCACGGTCCCGAGGCATCAATATACATCTTTATGCGGATGACACCCAGCTATACACATAATTTAATCCATCTGATCCTTTAAGTGAAGCCTCTACCAGACATAAACTTGAAGCCTGCATCAATGACATGAGAGCTTGGATGACACAGAACAAACTGAAACTGAATGATGACAAGAGTAAATTTATGATAATTGCCTCAAAACACCTGGCAGCTAAGATCTGTAGTCAATCATTACGCATAGGATGTGTTGATGTACAATCTGTGTCAAGTTGTAGGAATCTTGGAGTCCATTTCGACTCTGAAATGTCAATGTCTGCTCACGTAACAACCACTTGTCGATCTGTTTATATGCACATACGCAATATTCACAGTATTAGAAAGTAGTTATCATGCAAGGTTGCAGCCTCTGTTATTTATTCATATGTTATGTCTCGTATCGATTATGGAAATGCTTTATTGTTCAAGGCCTCCTCTTATCAACTTGCCAAACTACAACGTGCTCAAAATTCTTCTGCTCGGGTCCTGAGTGGAACATCTCGCTTTTCCCACATTACCCCAGTTCTGAAAAGTTTACAATGGCTGCCAGTATCCAAAAGAATAGAGTTCAAAATCTTACTCCACACATGGAAAGTAATGTATAGTCAGGCTCCACAGTACTTGCGAAATCTCATCAGAGAATATATCCCAGGTAGAAATCTCCGTTCTCCTTTTACTAAACAGTTATCAGTCCAAAGGACTATGTCTACTCTTGGAGAAAAGGCATTTATTTCTGCAGCGCCATCTCTTTGGAATGCTCTTCCACTGAGGATCCGATCACTAGTATCCCTAGAACCATTTAAAAAGAATCTAAAGTCATATATGTTCGCATGTTATTTTAGTTAATTATATGTTTCCGACTCAGAGGCCTAAAGCCATACATCCTGTTAACCCTTTAGGCCTACATGAACTTGTCATTTTATTTCTATTCAAGTACTACTGACATTTAGGATGGATATGCCTAAAACAAAAAAGCATGTGGAAGATGTATGTTGTTCTGTGCATATTGCATGTATTGTATACATTATAATAGGGTTTATTGTGAATATCTGTGAGCATGGATACTTTCAATCCTTATTGCTCCTAAACAAAAAATATTATATCTCTGAAACTTTTATATGTTTCCAACAATACAAATTTTGTGAAGATTGACCCATTAGGTCCCGAGATACAAGGGTTCAAAGGTAGGCCCGCCACCCCCATTTTTGAAAAAATCTCAAAATTTGGTGGGCCGTATCTCCCAAACCCCTCACCCGATTGACCTAAAATTTGGGATTTGGTGCTGTGAGATCACACTCAACAAGTACACTAAGTTTCATCAAAATCAAAAATGGTCGGGTTAAAACCATTGGGTGATTTGACATGGAATGACCCGATAATGAACAAGACTAGTCAAGTTCATTGTCCGTCTCATTGTGACTTAACCAAGTGCAGTGCATATCACTAATGCACGAGCTAAAAACATGTATTATTTGTTTTACAAGATGAATCTAAAATATGGGTCTACAATATGAGTATAAAGTCAAAAAATTTATGGTTGTTATCACCAAAATTCACTCCTGTGCGTATGGTTAAATGTAATGCATGCACGAGTGATCCATTTCTACACTTCTCATTGGCTACATTCTTGAACCCATTTTATTATTATTCAATCATTATTGATTGACTAATTGACTTTTGATACATAATCAAAAGGAAGTGTGGTGTGGTGTATGATACACTTTTGTGCACAATAAACAGTGCATAAAGGTTGTTATAATGCATGCTTGTGCACAGTTAACATTCAATTATTGAGTGATTGCTAGATGCTGCTTATAAGTATCGGCTTGCATGGTGATGTAGATATACAGTAGGCTTGCGGTTGCACCATGTGAGAGAGAGGGAGGATTGTTCTTTCTTGAGTGTGTGTAGTCCTGAAAAGGACTGGTGGTGTAGTCTTGAAAAGACTGATTGTTGGTTATCTTTCTTAAAATAGCTTATAGTTCTAAGGAGAACTATAGCGCCGGTTGGAGAGGATAGGTGGCGGGAGTGGCTCGACGTTTCAAACAGGTTGACTATCTGTCGTCAGGAGTGAAAGAAAGATTATCGCGAGTCCTTTTTAGGACTTCCCAATCTTCCCTCTCTCTCACATGGTGCAACCATTAGCCTACTGTATAATACAATGTTGTCTAACAAATATTATATCCCTCATGTATAGTTGTTTGCATTGCGATTGTACAGAGCACGAAAAAGGTATAGACAAGTACTATCTACCTGAGATAGTACTTATTGTAAAGTAATTTTTTGCTGCTACCCCACTTGCCCACCCTTGCCCATTGAATACGCGAAATGTCAAAGTCAAAGTCAATGTCAATGTCAAATGAGCGTGCATCGACTGTATTACATGTATGCATGTTGCGCTTTGTAAAATCTAGCTGAAGCTAAACTGTCTGCAGAATCCGTTCTTATTATTATGTAAAATTCACTTTAGATAGACCTTATTGCCGATGTGGGATATAAAACAAATATTAACCTCCTTTACTCGGGCAATGGATACAAACTATCATCGCCTCGGTAATGATAGTTTGCACCATTACCCTTGTAGTCGATTAATATTTGCTTACTATATTTCACAATAGACAGTAATTAATATTTTACAAAATTAATCGAAGACAAGTGTATAATCATGACAGCAATTAAAACAAGTTGCGATTCAGTCTATATATATTCTTAGCATTCACAAATCTTAAAGGGATCCGGTAACTTTGTCTCAGATTCTGAAACAAAATTCTGGATTTAGCTCATGATGCAATGATAATTATAAACCTTTAGGTCAGTCAGGAGCCCCATGACTTTTACAAGCCGATCGCCTGTCTGATTATCAAGATATTTATGATTGGGATTACAAATTTTGAAAACCGTTCGCCTGACGGTTTTCATAACACTACAGTCTATTGGGGAAAATGAGTATGGTAAAACCGGTCACTCAAAGATTTTTACTTTTTTGAGGCACTTCTTGATCATTTTGAAGTGCAATTTTTTTAGGGCTTCAATATTACACCATATCACAGACACTGATAACACTTAGGGCCGTGTATCTCAGATTTAACATTGTTAAACGATCCCTTTAAGGGGCAAGTCAAACCCATTTACAACTTTAATTGAATAAATAGAGAATTTTTTTTTTATTAAACAGTGTCACTGAAAGTTTCATAAAAATATGATGAAAAATCCACATCAAGCATTGTGGATAGCAATAGCATTCATGCGCAAATATGGAATCTTAAAATTTTGCATCATTTCATGAAACAGTGATGTGTATCAAATGGGCTGTATACAAATAATAAGTTAATGATGGCATCCCCTCACTATTTCCCATATACACACCTGTATAAAACTTGTCCTTTCTATTATGATAAGTTACAGTAATGGTGATTTTGCACAAATTCAATGAAGATTTACATTAACAGAGAGGAAAAATGATATTTTTATTAAATTTATGTTCAATATGGATAGAGTAAAGTGAGGGGATCATCATGAACAAGCTAATTTACATACACCTTATGCGATACATATCACTGTTTCATGAAACTATGCATAACTTTGAAATTCCATTCCTTTCCAATTTTCAACCGATTTTGATGAAACTTACACTGTTTTGTCTGTTTAATTTGTCCATTTTATTGTATTCATCTTGCAAATGGGCTGGACTTGCCCTTTAACCATTCAATATTGCAGTATTTGTAATTTGCAAATAGTTCAAGAACATGAAAGTTTCTCATTTCCAGGCCCGATAGCTCAGTCGGTAGAGCAGTGGTCTCGTAATCCAGTGACCCAGGTTCGAAACCAAGGCAATGCTCTAGTGCCCTTTAAAGGCATTAATCCTCATAACCAGGTCCCCCGGAGAGGACCTAAAGCCGTCGGCCGTCTGGTTGCTTACTTACAAGCATTTATGCTTTCTTAGCAGTCAGGTAAAATAACCACCACCAATACCACTTTGTTTGGACCTCTATTCCCTCAAAATGTCAATTCATAAAAATCAGAGGTCATTTAATTGAAACCCTGTGTAGTTGTTTAAGGAAAGCAAAAAATATCAAATCTGATTGTTGAAAGCTGGAATGAAATGAGAACAAAGATATTGCAAATTTTCAAGTAAAATTGAACTGGGACAGTGATGATAATGATGACGGCTAATACTGCCCTTCCACAACAAAACAGCATACCGGTAACTGACATTTTAGTGTTTCTGAGATATAGGAAGAAACATGCATTTTGATTTGCTATCAAAAGTGTTTTAATGTTTTTAGTCAGTGTTGACTTATCAACATAGGTATTTACAGTATTACCCTAAATTTTAGTATAACATGTGGAACTTGATGTTCTGAGTCACCCACACTAACTAACTCAATTTGGAAAGAAATGTCAGTTATGCTGTTTTGTCAAGGAAGGGCAATATAGCGCCGGTGTCCACCTCTGATAGGCGCTCACGGCGTACCTAAGATCTTGGTTGCAAGAGAAGAAGGAACCTCTGGAACAGATTTGATGGAAGCTGGTCGGTAATAGTCTAATTCATCTAGAGTATCTTTGACAACATCGGTGGGTTTGGCTTTCAAGGCGGCCTTATGTCTCATCTGCGATGCCTTCCTAGCATGGGCTGGGCAATACCTGAATCAGATGAAGACAATACTTCTTGTTAACACATGCATTATTAGGTGGTCTGTCAATATCAAAATCTAGAACTCTGTGGCGGCGAGGGGCATTGGGTATAGTTGTTAATTGATTGTGTATGTTGATTTTGTAGATCTAGATATATTAATTATATAGAATAGAATCTAGAATACCTGCATTCTCGGCCCAATTATGAAAACAAATTACTACCGGTATGTAAAAACTAAAGAAAGAACATAAATACATCTACTATAAACCTTACACTGAAATGAATACAAAGCACCAACTTTGTTTAACCTAAGAAATGATTATTGAACTGTCCTATGAAATGATGTATCAGAATTCAGAAATTCAAATTAAGAATAATGATCACACTGATATGATTTATAAGATATAATTAAGTATCCACTAAAAATAGAATGTAAAAAAAAAAGACCAATTATTACAGTATCCAAGCCAAATAAAAACAAGATTCTTCCTTTTCCCTTCCCCTATACTTTCTATAAGTAGGAATGACCTTATCAAATTATGGTGCCAAAAATCCATCAAAGAACAACAAGTTTCATTGATGAAATTTCCTTATACTTTCGCAAAAACAAAAACAATTGAAAACAAATTATATCCAGTAATCATGCCAAATAAAATCAAGATTCTCCCATCTCCAATTTACTATTTAGAAGAAAGAAAGAAAACAAATTTGTAATACCAGTAACGGTAATTCTTAGCTTATCAAATTATTCACTCTGCCCATAAATTCCAACATTGTTTTGTTTGGGGAGGGGGCTTCGCAAGTCATGAATGAACTGACCTAATTCCTTCCTCTGTCTAGTACTGCTTTCAAACTGGCTTCTTTCGGAGTCACACCGATGAAAATACAGATTTAATTTTCCTTATGTAAACAAAGGTAAACCCGCCTTTTCCCTGCTGTCGTTTTCATACTGCCGTTGAAATTCACTCGCTATGGCGAGCCCTTGCCGGAAGTGAAGAATTATTATGTAATCATTAAGCCCGCACCCCATCTAGCTGGCATGCAGCATGTTCAACAAAAAGTCAACAAACACAGCTGGTTACGATAAAGCGCGCATACACTGCAACATTAGGCCATTTTAATCGCTGTTTCTCCTGAACGCATTCACAGTGGCTGTTTCATCGGTGTCACACCGATAGAATGAGAATTTCTTCTGCTCTTGAGCAGAAGAATTTAATCGCCTATTTCTTTTCTTTTCATCAGCTATTTAATCAGCTTTTTCTCCTCTGTAGCATTCATAGTGGCAGTTTCATCGCGATGCGTACGGATGCATCCAATGAAAATCAGGCCAGTTTGAAAGGGGTATAGGTCTGGCCATTAGGCAACATGTACTGCAGTCACTCAAAATGTTCAATTCATTTGTGACTGTTTTCACATCGCGCAATAAAAGCTTACCATGATTCAGAATCATTTCTGAAGTATAATATAGTGCAATCCTATTCAAACTCTTAATTCTTATTATTAAAGAACAATTTCCAGCGAATTACAAATAATAACAAATAATAATGATGCAGGCGTACAAACACATCTGCAGCTCGTCAGACTTCCTATTGCTGTGGCGTCTCGGGGTTGACGGGGTAATATACATGTCTTTTTTTTTCACAGGGTCGTGTCACTTGTTTTAAATTTCTTGTGAGAGGCCTGGTTAGATCATTGTTAATGTTGATTTTTCGCAATGTGTCCTAGCTTGCCCAGCAGAAATTAGCAGCCACAGGAAATGGTGTTTACACGTTTATTATCCTGATTGATAGTAATGATTATGAAGGCTACTGTACATCTCAAGTGCAGTGTCTGTTGACTGCTGATGAACAAGTAGAAAACTGTGGGAAATTCTTGAATGTAACAAAATACTATTAAAATATACATTTACAAATCCATTTTACATGTATACAGTTATATCTAAGTTCTGAACACATTTTTGCCAGGTTATTGACAAAACAAAATACAAATTATAGATGTAAAACAAGTAATTTTAGCACTTTTTCTTCAAATTTTCTGCTACACTGACTTCAAGACTTCAAGTTCAAAATGAAGAAAATGTTATGGTCGGTTGTAAGTGTCATTATTTCTCTTCTCGACATTAACACATACCCCTCTTTGCGATCAGCCTTTGGGGCAGGCTTATGGCATTTCTGTCCAGTCTTGGTAGATACAAAGTTGCACTGCTTAAATGAAGAAGACTTGTCTTCTAGAATGTGGTTCATACAGTATTCGTATCCCTCATAGCGGTCTTGCATGCAGATGCGGTGAGGGTAGTTGCAAAACAGGCTCTCGGATCTGCCTGCCTTGCGGCTCGAATGACCACCTTTAGAACGATACATATTTCTGCAAAAACAAATAAAGAGAGAAAAGATACATTATAAACATGTAAACTTTTGCTTTTCAGACTCACCTCAGTGATTCACAATGTACAGGCCACAAGCTAGAAAAGTCTACCGGTACATAAAGATCTACCCATGGCATGAACAGTAAAGGGTCATTCCATGTCAAATCACCCAAAAAATCTGAAAATCTTAACCCGATCATTTTTTATTTTGATGAAACTTAGTGTACTTGTTGAGTGTGATCTCACAGCACCAAATCCCAAATTTGAGGTCAATCATGTGAGGGGTTTGTAAGATGGGGCCCACCAAATTTTGAGATTTTTTTCAAAAATGGGGGTGGCGGGCCTACCTTTGAACCCTTGTATCTCGGGACCTAATGGGTCAATCTTCACAAAATTTGTATTGTTGGAAAGGGTATTCAATAAGAATTCCAAATCTGCCGCCATTTTGAAAATTGGTACAAGTTGGGGTACTTTGACCTCTTGACCTAAGATTTGACCTTGAAATTGACCTTGTGGATCACGTGACCTTGACAACATTTTTCATGAAATGTAATCTCTGACATGTTTACTTAAACATATAAAAGTTTCAGAGATATAATATTTTTTGTTTAGGAGCAATAAGGATTGAAAGTATCCATACTTACAGATATTCACAATAAACCCTATTATAATGTATACAATACATGCAATATGCACAGTACAACATACATCTTCCACATGCTTTTTTGTTCTAGTCATATCCATTCTAAATGTCAGCAGTACTTGAATAAAAATAAAATGATAAGTTCATATAGGCCTAAAGGGTTAACAGGATGTATGGCTTTAGGCCTCTGAGTCGGTTCTAGGATAATTACCCCCTGGAAAATTAACCCCCAATAAATGCCCCCCCCCCCCCAAGGACAATTATCCCCCGAGGAGTATCACACCCAGATGACAATTACCCCCCAGAAAATTACCCCTCAAGGATAATTACCTCCCCCCCAAAAAAAATCTGCTTTGATTAAAACCAACTTATTATCAGGATGGACTTTTCCTTTAACGAATAGGGGGAGGGGTAATTGTCCGGGGGGTAATTGTCCGGGGGGTAATTGTCCTACGGTGTAATTGTTCGGGGGGTAATTGTCCTCGGGGGAGGGACAGATTGTCCTAGGAAGTAATTTTCTAGAGGGTAATTGTCCTCAGAGGGGGGGAGGGGGGACATTTCCTGTGGTTAATTTTCCAGGGGGGATATTATCCTAGAACCGACTCAGAGGCCTAAAGCCATACATCCTGTTAACCCTTTAGGCCTATATTAACTTGTCATTTTATTTCTATTCTTGTACTTCTAGTACTGCTGACATTTAGAATGGATATGCCTAGAACAAAAAAGCATGTGGAAGATGTATGTTGTACTGTGCATATTGCATGTATTGTATACATTATAATAGGGTTTATTGTGAATATATGTAAGTATGGATACTTTCAATCCTTATTGCTCCTAAACAAAAAATATTATATCTCTGAAACTTTTATATGTTTTAGTGAACATGTCAGAGATTACATTTTATTAAAAATATTGTCAAGGTCACGTGATCCACAAGGTCAATTTCAAGGTCAAATCTTAGGTCAAGAGGTCAAAGTACCCCAACATGTACGAATTTTCAAAATGGCGGCAGATTTGGAATCCTTATTGAATACCCTTTCCAACAATACAAATTTTGTGAAGATTGACCCATTAGGTCCCGAAATTCAAAGGTAGGCCCGCCACCCCCATTTTTGAAAAAATCTCAAAATTTGGTGGGCCGTATCTCCCAAACCCCTTACATGATTGACCTAAAATTTGGGATTTGGTGCTGTGAGATCACACTCAACAAGTACACTAAGTTTCATCAAAATCCAAAATGGTCGGGTTGAAACCATTGGGTGATTTGACATGGAATGACCCTAAAACCCTTTTCTCAGGTGACCAGGTTTAGACTTCAGTTTGCAGGGAAAGACATTCCAATTTCATAGCAAACCTGTGAGCTCGAGAGCAGAGCAAGCAAAATATTTCAAATAAGTATTCATGCAATTAAATTAAACTGTTAACGACAAAGGAATTAAGTTGCTACCAATTTTAAGGGTTACAGAATGACATAAGGTGCACTGATCTACATGTATACCTGATTTTGCAAGCAATTTTAAGTGTTACAGAATGACATTCACAGAGCATTTTTAAGTTTGAAATAAACCCATTTAACATATCAAAAGGATAGTTGAGTTCTGTTGCAGAGGGCGCTACACAAAATAATTTTTTGTGAGATAATGAAAAACTGAGTGTCAAATTTGAAAGAACATACAATTTAAATGACAAAATCATCTTTGATTGATCAAAATCGGTTCAGAGACGGCTGAAATATCCATAAATATAACAATTTCTAATACCTGTGTACCACCACAAATATTAGATAATTTGAAAAAGCATTTGAAAAAACGAAATAGTGCCTTTTACGTCGTATTACGGACAATGCCGATGTTGGCTTTTTTGTTGGCATTTTCGTGTTGGTTACATTACATGTACGCACAACCAGCCGGCCCATGTATTGTGATTTTTAACAAAATAATTAATTAACGGTCACCATATTTTTTTGAAAGTGGAGCTGAATTGGTATGATCGTATTGGCTAAATTTCACACATTTTGGGGTCTTAAATTACCTTCATAGCAATTTTAAGTTCTAAAAGGGCACTAGAAATGTCATAGATAACAATAAGAGCAATAACCATGCACTTTGAAGGCATTTGCGGTCTGAAAACAGAACTCAACTATCCCTTTAATAGATATCTACAAACTAATGGTACCATATGGTATGAGGTACTTACACAACTACATAAATATTGAAATTCATTTACATGTAGCTATGCTTTTTTAAGGATTCAAATAAAAAGGACAGCGCTTTTCATCATTCGTTATCGATTGCCAAAATTCTGTGAAGTTTAAAGGTCGGGTGACATCCAAACATTAGTTGATTCCTGTTGATGTGCAGGGCTGCATACAACTCATATTTTGTTATTCAAACATAATGATGATGATTCATTTGTATTGCGCGATATACCGGTATCTGTTTAAAAAATCATTCAAAGACGCAAGCTCCTACAACAATGTTGGCATTTAAATGTCTGAAGGAAGATGTGAGTTTTGAGTGAAGTTTTGAAGTGGTCCAGGTTGTCAATTTTGCGAATAGATGATGGGAATTCCACAGGCGAGGAGCAATAGAGGAAAATGCCTGGTCTCCATATTCTTTGAGGCAAACATCTAAATATATTTTGAAGATTTTTACATATTTTTAAAAATAATTTTCTCATTCACCGGCTGGGTGCCGGCCGGTAAGCTTACGCCACCCGTTATGAGCTCCGTCCTATGAACAGGTACACCCCATGGCTCCCGTGCCCAGGCCGGGGTCGTCAAGGCGCCCGGACGAGGGCCATGCGGTGCACTGAACTATGCATCCTCTATATCTCAAGCTGTGTTGTATTGAGAATTGACAGGAAAAATCTTGAGGGGCCTGTCCAGAGCCCGAATGGAACCTGTACGGTGCCCACGGTGCCTTCAGGCTTTACGGGCCTTGCGGTCGAATGAAAAAGCTGGGAGAATTGGGAGCAGCCAACTCAGCACCATAGAAACTGTACTAGGGTGTCTGAACGATTTTTACCCTGGTTGGATAATTTAAAAAAATCCAATACTTTTCAAATTTCAAAAATTTCACGATAGCTTGCTCATTCAGCTCCCAAATTAATTTTTTTCATTCGAAAAAGACTTCTCGACAGCAGGATTGCCCGTCAGCCATCTTGAATTGAGTAAAATGAATATTCATTATAAAGATGCCGAAAGGTTGATAGACTCCACCCAAATGACCTATCACAGATGTACGTACGTGCACGCGCCCGGAAGTGAGCCCTGCATGAACTAGCCCTGACCATAGAGATCCTGTATATAGACCCCCTGATCGATGATGATGTACGTTAATAATACAGCTAGTCCGTTGACCCGGAAATATATCTTGCGGGTCATACATCACAGTTCAAATACCGTAAATCTCCGCACACTTTTTTGCCGCCAAAAATAATTAAAAGTCGGGGGTGCGCCCTATACACAGGTACAGAAATTTTTTTTTTTTTTTTTTTTTTTTTTTTTTTAGTTTCGATTTATGGCGTTATGCCAGGAAATGTCTCCCAGCTCAGTAATCAGTGTGTTGACTCATGTCCATGGTTGACTCACTACTCGGAAACTACAACAACACTAAAATTTGTCCGTCATCTTGGTTTGAAAGTAATCTATCTAATACTAGATCTCAATGTAGTTTATAATAATTCCTCAATTTTTTTTAATGGTGTACCACAAGGTTTTTTTTTTGGTCTCAAAATTTGAAAATTTGACATATTTCTTCGTTGGGTCACATTTTTTAGGTCAGCCATGGGCATAATTTTTTTTTTTTTTTGTAATAATTAAAATGAAAAAAAAAAAATCAAAGGGGGGGGGGGGTTTTAAGGGGGGTTTTCGGCAAGATTACACACATTAAACTACCAAAGGGGGATTTAATCCCCCCCCCCCCCTGCGTACACACCTGCATGGGACTCACTTCTTTTTTAGCATTTTGGGCCATCAACCTACTTTAACTAAAGTTTAAATGGCTTTTGAAAATGGCTCTAAACTTCAAAGAAATACACTCTTCAAGAAGTCCAGTTTGCCATCAGTTTGCCTTTGGTTGGAGAGAGGGTGGGGGTGAAAGAAATGAGAAAAAATTGAGTATGCCTACCTAACTTATTTACTATATAAACAAAAATAATAACAAATCCCTTTTAATTGAAATTCATAAATTGAATCCACGATCTTAAATTTAAAAACTCTGGGAAAACAATAAATGCCCTTTAAATCCTTGGCGTGGGTTCACAATCACAACATGAGAATAGAGACACCAGTATGTGCGGTGCACTGCCGTCGAGCTATCACAGAGTGTCCATCCATCCATCCATTCCAAAAGA